TCCACATTGTTCAGCAAAGTTACCCAATCCTTTGTTATGGTGTTCCACATATGGCTGTACATGACACAGTAAAATGTGGACTTTCCATGTTGTATTTATTTGTTTATTTAAATTTATTGTAACTTCTTGAGTAGAAAGAAATAAATTCTTTGAATTTGTTATTGCTTTGAAGCAAGTTTGTAAATTGCTGGAAAAGCATCAATTTTTTACATTTCTAAAATCTCAACACTGAACAATTGGAATCAAACAAGTAAATGTTTCTAATATTGTCTTTCAAGAGAATCCAGATTTTCTAATATTTTATTCGAATTGTTTCCGTCCCAGCCTCTGCCTTGGTACCCTCGCTGATTAACATTTTTTGACTTTAGCCAATCATCAAATCCTGGCCAAACATCTAACAAAAAATTTCCAAGCAGTGAAACAAAACCAATTAACAAATGAAGTTCAGGTGGAGGAAAGAGTTGCTCAATTAAAGTATTCGGATCTAAATTAATATATAAAATTCGAGGATTGATGCAGTTCATAAACTCTTGCATAGATGATTTTACTGAGTTATTTTCTAAATATTTATTGTACCAATAATCAATACTGCCAAGAGTTCGTTTTGTCCCTAAATTTAATATAGATATTTCTTCACACCATAAACAAGCTTTTTTCCCAGAATGTCCTGATAAACCAAACAGCGCGTTTCCACATTTCAAGTCAAAAGCAACATAAAAACTGACATCTTGCAAATTTAATTTTTATATAACAAGTCTCAAATTATAATTAGATTCAGGAATATCTTCAACAATAGCTAAAAATTGAGACCGTTGAACATCAGTATTTAAGTACTTGTCTGACTCATTATCTTTTTGACAATCAAAGACATTGATGATTACTTTAAAAAATGAACCTTCACCATCCAATTAAATCCTTATAAAGGCTGAAGTAGAGTCTAAACCACACAATTTTAACAAGTCAAGTACAAAATCTGATGTATTTTGAACATATACAAGATCTCGTAAAATAAAATGGCCTTTACTATCAACAAACTCGCACTTCTGCATGCTGTAGTAATTAGAAATATATTCTTCTAATTCAGAAAGACGACCAAAAATATTAGGCTCAATGGAAAGCTTATTTCCTAAACCTTTGCGTAAAGTAGAAAGCATCTCTTTTGTTTTTCTATTTGAAAGTTCTAACACAATTTTTAATTGCTTTATTATTTCGATTGAAAGCTGCTTAATAGAAGTTCTTTTTGATTTGTTTTCTGGTGTACCAACTGTGACTTTAAGCAAATTTCCTCCTGTAGATAAACAAAACGTTGATCCGTCAATCAAACTTTCTGTAGCCATTTTACTTTTTATAATTTCAGAAGCAACCTACATAAAGTTTTCACTAAATGAAATTTGCATAAATAACTAAAAATTTATAAACAAAATATAGTTGTTTTTACCTGTTTAGCTTGAAGAGAACCTAGAAGAAATGGCAGTGTAATGATATTAGCCACAGCACTGGTGGGTGTACAGTTATGAGAATAACCATGTGTAGGTAATAACCAGGTGTAGGTAATGTATAGCAAAAAGAACATATACTTGACTCAGTTGTTGGTAAATTAGTTATCTCATCTGAAAGAGTTAGACTGGTACTGGGGCTATTTCTCAAAAGAGTTTTCCACTCTACCTAAACAGGCTTGGTCAGGAAGCGGGAGCGATCGCTCTCGAATAGTGACCACGGAAATTATATTTAGTTGCGAAAAACTGGCCAGGTTTTTTTAGTCGTTTTGAGAACATTTAAGTTTATTTACGAAACAAAAAATTTTTGTTTTACGGACATACAAGGAAACATAAAAAACTTAAATGTTCTCAAAACATCTTGGTGCGAAAGAATAAAAAGAATATTTGCGAACACTAAAAACCCACCAAATTAACGAAAAAACTAATTCTATTGGTTCAAAAAATACGCTGACTAAGCAAAATAAAATTTTGGAGCATTTTGTTGAAATGTTTTAGAAATTATATTATTCACGATTTGTTACGTTTTCAGATTTCTAGCATAAATCGTTTTAATAATATATATAATTTGTTTACAAAAATAAATGTTTTAAATATGTATTAATTAAATTGTCAAAATTTTAAAAGTTTATTATAAATTATAGATTTTATTTGTACATTCTTATTTTTTATTTAAAAAGTATGTATTCTTTATGTAAATGCAATTTTGTTGATCTGTTTTTTTATCGTGATGTATCTTTTAAAGCAATTTTTATGATTTAAACAAAAGCTTACAAAAATAATTGCGTTTTCAATAAAGTTATAATCGTTAAAGTTAATAAAACTAATCATGTAACACATATAAGAAGTTTCTGGTTACTAAGCACAAACAACGCATACAAAGTAACTCGGGGATGAACAAGCACCGCGCCTGAGGTCACGACAGAACACAAATATATATAGCAAATAATTAGATATAAAAAAAAGTTTCTAGATATTGCTAACTCTAATTATTTTCGCTTCATTTACCATTTTTAAAAACTCGTTACACTTTTTTCTGCTTTAATTACTAATTAAATTACTAACTAATTAAAAAGCCCACTCACTAAACATCATCAGCGATATTGTGAAGCAGTTTCGCTTCCTTTTTAACCTTTTTAGTTGATTTCTATCTTGTTAATTTAATGTCATAGAAATTCAATGATTTAATTATTTCATTTGTTTATCTTACTAAGAAGAATTGCTTCAAATATGTTAAACTTTTCAAACTACACGAAACATAAAATAGGTATTAATAAAAATTAGCTTTTTTATTTATAAAATAATTTAGCTTAAATAAAACTAAAACTTGCATACTTTGTTTAATAAAGAATATTTGTTTCCTTTTTAAACAATCGTAAGATGTTACTTTAGATAAAAAACATTACTTAATTTTATAAAAATTTTTTTGTAATTGTCTCTCATCGGTCCAATTAATCTTTAAGCGCTTTTTTTTTTTGCTTGTTAAAATGTTCTCAAAACGACTAAAAAATCTGGCCAGCTTTTCGCAACTAAATATTATTTACGTGGTCAGCAATCGAGAGCGATCGCTCCCGCTTCCCGACCAAGCCTGCCTAAATAAACATACATTTATAAATAAACAAAAGAAAAAAAAGAAAAAAAAAAAGGAACTAAAAAATCATTAAATTTACCTTGGTAACCTTAGCTCCCCATTCACCACGAGGTGAGTCTCCCTTTTTGAGTCTGTAAAGATTTCTTCGGCAACCAGGACAAACAACTGATGGATAGCAATCGTTGTTCATCGAATATCCAGGAAAAATAAACAGTTGAATTTGTTCTTCTAAGTTTTTATTCATTTTTTTCAATGATTTTGATCTTTTGCCATACTTTTCCCAGCAACAGCAACAAGTAAAATTCATTTTTAAGTGAAAGAAATACAACTCCCAAATAGCACAACCTTTCGCAATTTGAAAATTTTTATACTACCATCTTTTAGATTAGTTAGTACAGGGGGTAATTAAATTTATAAGCCCATATGAGGTTACAGTATAATTAATATAATAAATAGCTAATACTTAGTTAAATTTATCTAAAAATTTGTTTAAAATATTTTTTTAACATTTATAATTTTATTTTTAAACTATTATATAGAACAATATATTTTACAAAATAAATTTTGTTATCTCCATTAAAAAAATATCTATCAGTGGTTTCCAAGGATAAAAACAATTTTTTTAACATTTTTTTAAGTCAAGATCTGGCGAAAAATTAAGAAATTTTATAACCATTTTATAATATATTTATATCAAAAAATGTATGTCAAAAAAGGTATATCAAAACGCGTTGCGTTTCGATTTCAAAAAATATGTTTTCTAAAACAATATATATAATACTTTCATAAAATAAGGACTTGGTTTGAGTGCCACGACAAACCAAGTCCTTAGACTCTCTGGTGCACAATGAAAATGTTAAAACATAAATTAAATTATAGTTGAGGAAAGATGTAATTCAAATTCCAAAACTAAAAATTAATTAAATAATTAAATAAAAAGTTAAATAAAAATTATTAAATAAAATTAAATAAAAATTAAATAAAAAGTATTTAATAAAAAAAACTGTTGTTCATATCGTCTTTATTCATATTGTAATATGAAGAAAGATGTAATATGAATATGAAGAAAGATGTAAAATTCAAATTCCAAAACTAAAAATAAAAGTATTAAATAAAAAAATCTGTTGTTCATATCGCCTTTATTCATATTGTAATTTATATTTTAAAACTTTTAGGTTTATTTAATAATTCTTTATGTTGTAGTATAATCATTCATTCGTTATTCTCATTCATCATTTATCATTAAATGATAAATTAATGATTAACAGTCGTTTATTAAATGATTGTTAACCATTACTTTGTATGTTTACTTTGAAGTATTTTCAACTTTAAAGTTTAAACAGGCTATCAGATCTTTTAATTTTTTATTTTTAAAACCGTTTTTATATTTGCATTTATAATTATTATATTGGATATTGTGTTAGGTAGCGTAAAGTTCTGCAAGCAGCAAATGTAATCAAACGATTACATTCGCTGTTGTCTTATTTGGTGTAACATTCTTCCAGACAAAATTTATTAACATCATTGGATAGATTGGGGGGTGATTGGTTGTTCTGTCCTTATTTATGACTGATCGCATCATAAATATTGAAATAAAATATTCAATTATTCAAATCTTTATTAAAAATTAAGTTATTAATTAATTAAGATATTATATTCAAAAGTTGAAAGTAAAAAGTAAGAATTTTTTTTTCTCAATTCATTTAGTCATTACATTTTATTTTATCTGACTTTTTTCTTTATTTTATTTAATCACAGAAATAAAAGTTTTATAGAATTTCTATAATCTTTTGAAATCTATAGAAATTTTATTGAATTCTATAGAATTTCTATTGGATCTTTATTAATTTTTTATAGAAATTTTTATAAAAAACATTTATTAAAAAGTTTTAAGTTCACCAAGTTTCTTTTAGGTAGAAGTGAATGATGGAAAAGTTATTGTGACAGCCAGTGAAGAGGTTGTTTTTTTTTATTTTTTACATTTGTTTTGAAGTTATAAAGAGTTAAATTTGCTTTGTTATTATATATTTTAGATAATTTACTATTGAATTTTTTTTTTTTTAATATTTTTACTATAAGGTAAAAAGAAAATGTTAAAAACAAAAAACTTTGTTTTAAGTTCGTTAATCAGTCACCATGACTGAATAATATAATCTTTAATATGTATAGATGTCTGTATGTTACATGTTAAAATGTATAGATGTGTATACATGTTAATATGTATAGATGTCTACTTTCTATGATATATGTTGAACTAACATATGTATTTTTTTCTATTTGTGTCATTAGAGGATTTTTGGGTACATTTAAGCAATTGTGATTTAAAGCTGAAGAATCATTTAAATCTTTTGATTTAATGCTTCGGAGTCATTTATTATTATTTTTTAATGTTATTTACCTCCCAAGTCTAAAAGGGCCACTACAGTGGAGGAGGCTACTTTATTGTGGTTACAACCCTCTCTCAGCTATTTAACTCCGAAACATGAACCTTGATGAATAAGGTTGCTGGGCAGAGAAACAAGTTGAGTATGATACTACCGAGGACGTGGTGAAGATTAAACTTGCTGGGCAGAGAAACAAGTTGAGTATGATACTACCGAGGACGTGGTGAAGATTAAACTTGGAAATTCATTTAATTTTACATCCTCTATTCCTATCAAATAAGTAAAATATAAAAACTTTGTCATTATTATGGTCTTTTATTGTGGATTTAAGTTTATATAATAATTAAAAAGTAAATTATTGATTGGTTTATAAGAATGCATTTTGATTGGAATACTTTTTTGATTTTATTTTAAATTTATTTCATTAAAAAAAAGATTATCTAATTTAATTTATTCATTTAACTTAATTTTTGTTTCATTTATCTTTAATTTATGCATACAACTTGCTTTTTGAATTGTTTACCTTTCACATATGTAGGTTGTATATCTTTACATATATTTAAATTTATGTAATAAATAATTTATTTAATAATTTTAGAGTTTAATCAACTTTCGCCGTGTCAAAAGTATGGATGGATATTGCAGTGGAAATAAAAATATTATTTTAATTCTTGGTGGAGGTTATATATATTAAACTTTTTTTGATATGTTAAATATATAATATATAATTTTGTATATATTCTAAAATTTTTTATATGATAATCACCTGAAAATCTTTAATTTATCTGTAAATGTAACTAGTTGTAATCAACTGTAAATTATTTTATATGTGAATCAACTGAGAATCTGTAAATATTCCATATTGGTTTTATTATTTAAAGCAATCAGTGTTCCTTTTTTACATGTGACAAAAAATACAAAATAACATTCAAAAACAAAACAAAAAAGGTTAAAGTAGGCAGGTAATGAAAATATAAAAGCCAAGAAAATTTTTTTTATATTTAGTTTAAAGTTAAAGAGATGATATAAAAATCCTTTAGTGATCTAGGTAGTACCTGCCCAAACCCTGACCCTTGGTCAATGCATTAGGTAAAGCCCTCTAGAAAGTTATTGCAGTGTGATGTCAATCAATATCGTGGGACTTAACTTCTAAATGAAATGGCTAATTATCAGGGCACAATTTTTAGAGAAATATAAATATCTGATACATGTTCTGACAAAAAAATAATTGTTACAAAGATCTAAAAAGCTTTGCTTTTACATACTTTTTTTAATCTAGTATTCATTAGAGGATTTATCAATAAGATATTAGATTTGTCAGATACTATTTACTAATGACATTAGTTAGTCTTTTTATTTTTATTTTTCTGTTTTTCTTATTTTGTTTTATGTTCTTATTTATAAGTTTTATAAACTGCTTCTATGATCTATAATCAAAATTACAATAGCTAATTGTCTATGATATAAATATCCAGGTCACTGGTTTCTTGATTCCCAGGTCACTGGTTCCTTAACTCCCGGGTCACTGGTTCCTTGATTCCATAGCTTTCTTTAACAGTTAATTATAATAATACAAATAAATTATTTTTACATTCATTAAGTAATTAATCAATTTCTAATGAATAACAGGTGATGTGTAAATTATCGGACAAAAAAAAAAACTTTAATAACTTATTTATAAATGAGAAAAAAACTATTATTATATTTTTTTAAATTAAAGTTTTTATCTTTTAATAAAAATAAGTTGTTTTTTAAATGAAAAAGCACCACCATCTGCATAATATTGATCTCAATTTTGCTCTGACACCTTTCATTAAAAAATTTTAATCGATTTATTGTAGTATTAATTTAATTCGATCAATCAAACTAGGTCTGTTGAAGCTTGCCAATCTCTTTTCTGTGCCAAATGTCCCCAAAAGTTTTCAATTGGTCATGCTTGAAGCACATTTGGGGGATTAGATTCTTTATCAACGTAATAGACATATTGGTCTATCCAATTTAGAGAATCTTTAGAATAATGAAAACTAAATCTGGCCAAAATAATTAGTTAAAGTCTCCATGATACTTGTAAATGAATGGAAGCAGTCACTTTTCTAAACATTCATCAATATAGATTGATGAATTAATTGCTACAGCCTTGAAAGTGTGAAACACTGGCTCAGACATACTATGGTCAGGTATGGCTATCCACATTATTAATTTTTTTAGAAATTTCTCTTTTTCTATAAAGCAAGCACTTTCTGGGCATTTTTTTGTTGTTGTTTGTGTAGTATCCAGAATTTCCAGGCATGTTGTCCCCTGCAAAACAAAAGTATTTTTTGTCATTGATGACCAGAAGTAATTTTGTGTAATAGAGTTAACTAGTTTCCTGCTTTATTTCTTTGCCTTTAATTGTTGTTCTATAGTGTATTTGTTGATTGATTTACACCAAATTTAAAACCTATTTTTCTCTGGCTGACCCCTTTTTGATTGTTGACAAGTCTCGTTAATTCAGCTTTCTTTTCTCTAGTATAGGATGTTGGACAACAGGATGCTTTCTATCAGAATTGAACAGTTTTAAATCTTTTTAGGTTATTATATAGTGTACTTCAACCAAATCCTTCCTTTTCAAAATGATTTACAATTTTTTTTATTTTTATATTAGGTTTATTTACAAAAAACATTTTGAGTTGCTTTCAAAAAGATTCTCATTCAACTGCATTTAACCTCATTTTAAATAATTATGTTTCGAATAATTAAGTTTATATTTTATCGAACGTTTATACCTATGCATAAAACCACAAAAATAAATTTTTATGCTCAAATAATTAAATTAAGATTTGTCCGATAACTTATATCTATACATAGTTAGTATGCAGCATTTATTAAATGAGAAAAATAAATTAAAGAAACTCAGGTTATAAGTTATACACGAAACTGCTGTAGATAATGATTAAATATTTTGTAAAAAACTTTTCATTATTAGAATATTTGAAATAATTAGAAAAGTATTGTATAAAAGATTAAATGTGGAAGACATAAATTAAAAGGTAAAATCATATAGATTAGAAGTTGAAAACATAGATTAGAAGGTAAAGACATATAGATTAGAGGTTGAAAACATAGATTTATATTGTTTTATATGTAAACAAAAGTTTCAATTCAAAAATTTTGTTTTCTAATTTAGGTGTATCAGCTTTAATTTGTGCAGAGACCTTAAGACAAGAGGGTTACCAAGGTAATTATGTGTATCTTTGTGTTATTGTTGTTGTATACCTAATCATATACAAGTATATAAACTATACATAATCATCACATAGTAATTTCCAAAACACATAAAACTTGTTTTTTTTGTCATAACTCAGATACTGTACATTAGGGTGGGTCAAAACCATACTTTTTTTTAAAATACTATTTTTTTAAGTTGTATTAAAAAGTTCTTCATTATCACCTTTACTTTTGTTTACTGTTTTTCTTTGTAATGACTTTGATTATTTGTATTTTATTTAAACATTTTTTTAAATAAATTATAAAGTTATGCAACAATAAATTTACAGTGTTTGATATTTTATTAACATATTTATTTACATTCTGTTTTGTTTTTAACAATTTATTTGATGTAAGATAATACTGAACATTAGGTATTTTTTGTTGCTTTGTATCCTATTGCTGAATAATCTTTAATTTCTTATTGATGGTAGAAGATTTATGTCATCTTTACTAATTTTTTAGATTGCATCTCACATTTATCTCACTACAATAATGGTTTTTTATAATTTTCTAAATTAGACAAAGATAAGTAGTTATCTATTTTCTAAATAATTTATGCATTCACATTTGTTTGTTTTTTAATTGGTGCATTGGCGACAGCTTCAATGATTCTATTTCTATCTTGGAAGGTTTTACAGTCTGTTTTCTTGCAGCTTTCAGATGATGGTTCAATACTTTAATTTTATTTGATATATATAAAATCAAATTGTGCAATAATTCAGAAGTAAATAAGCCTAAAAGTGGTCGAAAGAAAATTTTTACACCAAGAGACCAAAGAACAATTGCTCATTTAATTGCTTCTGGAGAGTCTAAAACTGCAAAAGATGTTACTAATTTAATAAATAACAGCTATGGGACTCGCGGTTCAGTGCAGACAGTCAATAGAGAGCTCAAAAGAACTGTTTTTCGATCCAGAAGGAAGATCAAAAAGCCATTGTTGTCACTGCCAAGCTCATTTAAATTATGCTAAACTTCATGCACAAATCACTTTTGATGATTTTTATGACTGGATTTGGATAGATGAAAGTAAAACTAATATGTTTAGGCCAGATAGTATAAGATATACTTGGAGAAAGCCTAATTCATCATTAAGTGCTCGAGATTTTACACCAACCGTTAAATATGGTGGAGGAAAACTCTTGTTTTGGGAATGTTTCTGTGCTCGTGGAGTCATTGATTTTTATTGAAATTGAAAAATTGAAAATTAATGGAATAATGAAGGCTGATGACTATATCAACATCCTTAAGGTAGGATATTTCAAGTCCCTTCGAAAATGGGGCAGAAATGTACTAAACACGATGTTCATGCAAGACAACAACCCCAAGCATAAGGCTGATAAGACCATTAAATTCCTTCACAAGAAGAAATTGAAAGTTGTTGACTGGCCAGCACAAAGCCCTGATCTTAACCCACTCGAAAATTTATGGGCAATAGTTAAACAACGGGTCTACAACTTTCCTACTCTACCTAAGAATAAGGATGAACTTTGGGCTCGTGTACAAGGGGTTTGGTACTCAAATACACCCAAAAAATGATGCAAATTGGCTGCTAGTGTTCCTGGAAAAATACAGGTTGTAATTAAATCTAAGGGAGGATACACTCAATATTAATTTACTACAATACGTTATTTGCTTTCATTTGCGACAAAATTGTCACCATTAGCTTTTCACATAAAAATTTAAAAAAAAATTCAATATCCTCTAAATTTAATAAAAAGCAATATTTTCAGTTAGCTAAGTCTTAAATTTAATTTATAAAACTAAAATTTCATTTTTCTTCACAGCTTTTCTATTAAAAAATTTTTTAAATATTTTTTTGTTCAAACATGGTGACAATTTTGCCACATACTGTATATAATAATAAATTTCAGTTTAAGAAAGAATAAAATATTAAAATTAGTTAAAGATGTTTAAAGTATTCTTATAACCATAAGAAAAGAGAAAATACTAGATAAATAGATACTCAAATTTAAGATAGTAAATAATAAGTTATAGAAAAGATATAAAATTCATACATAATATTTTTTTCCAAGAAGTAGATATAAAAATTTTTATTATGTAAAATATTTTTCCGCTTTTTTATTTGTTTTGATATTGTATAACCATAATGAGCAGTATGATATTTATGTACAGGCAATTTGAAGTTGCTAGCAGATCATAAAATATGTTATCAATTGTTATGATGTTGGTTCCAAACCAATAGGCAATTTGATAGTTGAATAAAATCAAAATATAATAACTTTGGATAAATAGTGTAAAGTTTTGAATTAGTTTGATGTTAATGAATATGACAGCAACTTTCACTTTTAAAAATTATTTGTGTCAGAATCAATGGTATCTTGTGTTCTTCGTATTTTTTTCAAGCTTTTTAAATCCACATCTTACCAATATAGTCATGTTAATATGGTTATTTAGAATCGAAAATGTTACATAATATTTTACCAATGGCAAGTTTATCAAGTAATATATTATTTTAACTTAGATTTTTGAAAGCAACAAGTAAATAAAATTTTATGCTTAATGATGACTCTATGGTTATTGAACCTGAACAGTTCTTGATTGTAATAGTTCTTGATTGTAACAGTTCTTGATTGTAACAGTTCTTGATTGTAATAGTTCTTGATTGTAACAGTTCTTGATTGTAACAGTTCTTGATTGTAACAGTTCTTGATTGTAATAGTTCTTGATTGTAACAGTTTTTGATTGTAATAGTTCTTGATTGTAACAGTTCTTGATTGTAACAGTTCTTGATTGTAACAGTTCTTGATTGTAACAGTTTTTGATTGTAATAGTTCTTGATTGTAACAGTTCTTGATTGTAACACTTTCAATTAACACAAAAATATTTAATTGACAAAGTGTAAAAACACACTTGTTTTTACACTTTGTCAATTAAATATTATTTTTTTTCAATTTTATTTCAAATTCATGATACCCTTTAGTGAAACTCTTTAAAAACAAATGAGCTTGAAATAAATTATTAAGTCTGTTGATTGTGTCTGTAAAAGTATATTATAAAATTAGAATAAAATAAGCTTTGACTTAAACAAAAACTTTAGTTTTTCTTGATATACATAAAACATTTAGTTTTTCTTGATATAAATATAACATTTAGTTTTTCTTGATATATATATAACATTTAGTTTTTCTTGATATACATATAACATTTAGTTTTGATCAAAAAATTTCTTTAATATGAACACAACCTGTGTTTAGAGGTAGTCTCTTAAATATGAACACAACCTGTGTTGAGAGGTAGTCTCTTTAAATCAATAATTTCCTTTCTAATAAAAATTTTGAAGAGAATGTTTTTCTCTAACTCTATATAATTAATTTTTTAATCAATTGATTTATTTTTGTTCAAAAGGTGAAATAATCATGGCAACAAAAGAGTCACATGTTCCTTATGATAGAACAAAATTGAGTAAAGTAAGTTGAAACTTTTGATATAGTAGTTTTACTTAGGTTAAAACACTTTTTGTAGACTCACCAATGAGTATTTTACTTAGGTTGAACACTTTTTGCAGACTCACCAATGATAAATTATCAAACTTAATAAAATCAAATTGCTCAAGCAACAGTATTATGTGTATTTGCTTTTTTGTTGTTTTATGTTTCAAATATGAAATGTTTTTCTTTTGAAATAAACAGAAAATTAATATTACAACATTATATACAGCAATACATTGTTAATTCATCATACAACAATAAATTGTAGATTCATCATACAACTAGCAACCCATAATATAGGTTATTAGTAAATAAATTATTAATAACAATTTAATTTGATATAAAATCTGAAATCATCTGAAAAATATAATAAAATAAATTTAACTTGATTATATAAAGAAATCTATAATCTTTTTAGTTTTGCTCTCTGTTAACGATATAAAAAAACCATTTAACCCAGTTCTTTTTAAAATCAGATATAACAGCACACACCAGAGAAGGAAAGCCAACTAAATTCTGCTAATACTTAAAAAATAATAATAATATTAAAAAATTAAAATCTTAAATTACCTTGACTGGCATGGATAAAAATCATGCTCCACGGCTCTAATTAATGCAAAAAAATCTAATTGTGAAAAAAAAGAACATTGAGTAAAAAAAAAAAAATAAGCTTTAACAGAGATTAACATTGGAAGAAGATTATTATTTTAAATAAGAAACAATAGGTAACCAAAGGTAGGTTCTTATGGTAATGAAGAAGAAAAAGTGACCAGAGGCTAAAACAGTAAAAATTTTACTGTTAAGAAATGGACAGTTAAATTAAAAGTTTCTAGAAGGTCAAATTTCTAGGTTTTAAATTAGGAAAATTTTTTAAATGAATATAAGAGCTAGTTGGTTATAAACTCAACCTAATAGTAATAAATGTTAATGCTACTCTGGTAATAATAATATTACGGGAAAAATAGTAGTAGAAATTATACATCTCCAAAAATCCCCCAAAATTCTTTAAAAGTTGGTGTTCCAGTATTGGTACCAAAATTGAAACACAGTTGAATGAAAATATAAAATAGTTGCAAGAAATGGTTACAAGAAAAAAAATTTTTAAATCCTAACATCATCTATTTTTTGAAAGTTATTAACATATAACTAGAAAAAAACAAAAAGCTAATGGTGCAAAAACAAAATAATCTATGTGTCTCCCACATACACATACCTAGTACCTAATACCTAGGAGTAGTCGCCATTCTTTAAATCAAAGTTTTCATTTTGAAAAAAAAAAATTTTACAGTGATATCTAGGCTTGAATTAAAATGCATTCATTTTTAAAAGTAATATAAATTTTTAGTCAAATTTTATTGTTTATTGACTTTATTATATGTACAATCAGAGTGAATAGAAAAGAATTGTCACTTTGAAAGTTGCGCCAGGGCAATTGCTTTTAGGAAAAAACTAGTAAATGTAAATAAATTAAACCAAATTATAATTATTTTTAAACTAAAGAAGTTTTCAAAATTAGACATCATAGCAGACATTTTGGAAAAGTGAACAAAGCAGACATCTTATGATGGTGAACCAAGCACAGCCTAATAAAACATGAGAAAAACCACAATATTCATTAAAAATATTTATTACCAAAAGTGATAATTACACATTGATAGATTATGCACATAATTACTTGCTTTTATAATAAAAAAACTTTATTTTTGAGATCATTTTTTCAAGGGTTTCAAAATATTAAGATATAAACAAATAGCATTTATTTCAAAAAGTATTGTCTTGGCTTTGAGTTCTAGTAATGAACACCAACAGGAAGGAAAACCATGCTGTTTATCAAAAATAATAACATTAATTTTTTTTTAATAATAACCTTGGCATACACATATAACATACAGTTATTATTAATTTCTACATAAACATATAACATATACAGTTTTAGATTTTAATGCCAAAAAATAACTGGGTTTTTAGTAACAACAACTGACTTCTTATTAACAACAATTGGTTTCTTAGTAATAAAACTTGATTTGTTAAAGTTTTTATAAAAATGTGGTGTTTAATACAAATTTGATAAATGGCTTATAAATTAGTACATTTTTAAAATTAACATTGTCAAACATTGTTTGTGTAACATTGTGGAATATGTTAAATGACATGCCTTGTAAGGAATGTTCATCAACTTTAAAAAACAAACAATTAATCAATCATGTTCTCAAACATGTGCCAGAGTTTGCCATGTGAACAATGCATTTTTTTTAGATGAACATTAGTTTATTAAAAGTTAGACTTTATAAGGAATAAATATCCTTTAAAAAAATCATGTTAGAATTATTTTGGTTATGCACGTACCTTCAATAGAGTTTTATTGCATAGCCCTGTTTTAAGTCTAAATTTATAAGCAATAATCTAATTAATAAAACCATTGCAAGATAAACAACTAGTTAAAAAAGGTTTAAGAGCATGAAGGGACAAAGATGATAAAAGGTTGCAACTAAAAATCTTAAATAGATGCTGAATTCTTGTGAGAGTGAGTTTTGGTTGATCCAGAGATAATCAGATAATGGTTGTGCTGTGGTTGTTTGAGCAGTGACCATAATAGTATTCAGAGAAAAAGAGAAAGAGATGCAACATTATGATGGTGGGACAGAGCATTATGATGGTGGGACAGAACATTATGATGGTGGGACAGAGCACTATAATGGTGGGACCTGAGGTGGGACAGAGCATTATGATGGTGCGAAAAAATCCAGTCAACTTTAAATTGACATTTCTCTAAATCCACAAATGTTTTTTATTTCTTATATTTTTTTAAATTAAATGTTACTTCTTTGTCTTTAATTGTGTTGATAAACTTTTATTTACAAATCAATGATTTGCAAAATGTTTCGGAAACAAATTGATTTGCGTAAAAAAGTTGTGAATTTTTTTTGCAAAATCCATCAACTTAATATCGCTTGTTTGCTAAATGTACAAATGTCCCAAAATCTGTAGTCGTAGATATTATGAATAAGTTTAAGACTACTCAAACCTTGAAAGATAATCTGAAAGTGGAAGAAAGATAACTTTTCATAAATCCAAAAAGGTAAAGTCGATTCTCAGTTAAATTGCAAGAAATTCGAACCAAGAAATGCAAGAAATGCAAAGTCTTTAATTTTCTTGCTAGATCTTGCTAGATCTTGCTGTGACAAAAAATTTTTTGTCACAGCATGATGTAGCAAGAAAATTAAAGACTTTGCATTCTTATATCAAAAAAGTACTTAAAACTGCTGGAATTTAAGTATTTCATAAGGAAAATACATTTAAGAGAAGCTTAAACGATGAAATTAAGGAATTAGACGCGCAAAGAAGTTGTTCAAAATAATGGCGGATAAAAGGTATGTGCATAATTGAAGACAACAAAACATATTGCATGGCGGATTTTTCACAATTTCTTGGTCAACAATTTTACTATGAGAACAAAGATAAACATGTAGATGATCAATTTAAAATTATTTGACAAGAAAAATTTACATCCAAGTTCCTTGTGTAGCAAACGGTTTGAAGCTGTGGTACGCAGTCCTCTGGTTTTGTCACTAAAAAGACCTTGACTGCTGATCTCTACATTAAAGAATCTAAAAAATACTTTTGCCATTTATGAAAAAACACAAATATGATGTCTCTTTTGGCCAGATCTTGCTGCTTCTTACTATTCTAAAAAAGTTCTACAGTTGTGCAAAGATAAAAATGTGAAAAATTATTACTAAAGATGCGAATCCTTTAAATCATCCTGAAGAGCGCAGATTGAAGATTTTTGGGCAATAGTTAAAGCATTAGATTTTAACATTAACTTACGTCAAGCAAACAAATATAATATAATACATTATGCTATTTTTAAATAATACACTATTTTACTATTTTCTAAGAAATAAACTATTTTTATACATATCTATTTTTATATTTTTAGGCACTAAATACTAAACCAAGTGATTTGTATTTAAGAGATAATAATTTTTTAAACGAAAAAGGTATAATAATGGCTTTTGATAAACTTGTAAGTAACTATTAATTTTAAATTAATAATAATTCATAAGTATTTGCTCAAAATGTTTTTTGATTATGCAGAGTTTTTGTTGTATTTATATATTATGAGATTTTATTTTTTATCTATTTTTAAAATTTTTTTAATAGGCTGTCTCTGTTGATATAATTCAAAGAAAAGTTACATTTGCTGATCATTCAGTTCAAAGCTATACTAAATTGTTTATTGCAACAGGCAGTCAGCCACGCCGTCTTGATATACCTGGAAATGATTTAGAAAATATTTTTTACTTAAGAACTCCTGAAAATGCTAATGACATAGGTCTGTATAAATTTTGCCCAAAAAATTTATCATAATAAATTATGAGTTTTCACTGTGTAATCCGATATTGCATGTCATAAAATTAACTACACACCAATTTCATTTTTAATTGCATTAATTAAAAACCTTATTTAAAAATGTCACAAATATTTTATCAAAAAATTTTATTTTTTATATCAATTTTTTACAAGTATGTCCTTTTGTTGTTTTTTTGTTCCGTATTTCTTGTAATACCACTACTAGTGTATTTTTCTAAAGTTGTGATTTTCACATAACTTATAATAGGAAATAGGAACAATGAGGTCAGCAATTTATTGCTGACCTTAAGCTGTTAGAGGTCAGCATCATGTCGTCATTTAATACTTTATATATATTAATATTTAATACTTTAATAATAAATTAATACAAAGGTTTTACTATAAAACATAAAAACGAGATTGGCAAAAAATTGGCAACCTTTAACATTTTTAGGTTGGCAATGCCAAATTTTGACCCTAATTCCGAGGGCTGCCTTTGGATGAGAGAAGTTATGTGAAAGTTTTAGTTTTTTTGAATGTACTTTTTAGTGCATTCAAAAAGCTAATTTTTTTTGAACAAAACAAGGTAAACATTAAAATTTCGACTTAAAATTCAAAAGTTTTAAAAATTGAATGTTTTGTGGGACTCCTTTAATTTGAATTGTTGCTTTGATTCAGCATTTTTAGGGGCGTTGACTCAAATAATAAGTCAACAATTCTCATATTAATCATTTGCCAAGCCCTCTTGATTTGTTCAAATAATTCATTGCTAGTAATTGTATGTATATATATATATATATATATATATATATATATATATATATATATATATATATATATATATATATATATATATATATATATATATATATATATAGTTTTCTTCATTTTTTATGAGAATTTGTTACAATACAGCTAAATATGCTTAAAAATGAAAATACATGCCATAAGTCTAAATTTACTTCTACCATTTCTAATCATCCATGAAACCTAAAATTAATATTTTTTAGACCTTGGGCCTTACAGAACAGGATTAGCTTCTCAGCCCAGGCTTGGGCAGGAAAGCGTGCAATTTAAAGTCTTTATATGACCACACAAATAATATTTTGTTTTGATGATTTAACAACAGTTTTTAACAAATGCGCTGAAAAAATTGGTTTTTAATTACTCAAAAATAAATTACTTTGACACGTTTATCTTTACTAATGTTTTTATTTAGCAAAACACTTTTAAATTAAAGTATCATTGAAAGTTGTATAATTTTTTATTCATATTATTTAATTATATAAGGTTTTTTTATAAGTAAAAATAAAAAAAGTAAAAATTAAAAAAAGAATTAAATTTTATAAGCGACAACTTTAAACAGCAAAAGTCTCTTTAATAAACTTTATATTAGAACCAAGTTTTTGTTGAGAAGAAGAAAAAAAAAACTTTTTTGAAAGTTTGAATTAAATAACTTTGATCTTTACTTTTTTATAACGCATTTAAATGTAACAAATCACTTCTAATAATTTTTTATAACGCATTTAAATATAAAGACTTAAATATAAAAAATGATTAACGCATTTAATGTAACTTCTAATAACAAATCACTTCTAATAATTTTTTATAAAAAAATTGATGAATAAAATATATTTTTTTATATTTATGTAAATATTATTTTTTATTATAAATGTTTTTAAATATAAAAAAAATTAACTTTTTAAATAAATGATTTAATTATTTTTTCTTTTGTGCGAATAATTTTGTTAAACTTTTAAAACTTTTAAATGTGCGGATTTATTAAACAATTGAAAGTCAGTTGTGAGTTATTACTTTATTCAAAAAGGGTTTCACATAATATTACATTATGAAAATACTAGTAAAGATAAACGATTCAAAGTATTTATTCCAAACGTAATTTAAATAATCTTATCGTTCTAGTTTATTATTTATTTCAGTTAAGTTTTAATTTTATTTTTGCTTTTTTAATTCTAATTAAGTTATTTTAATTTTGTTTTCCGTTATTTTTTACGAAGGTTTATTTGCTTATTTAAAAATAGTTTTATTTTAAGTTTCTTTATAGTTAAGTTAAGATTTGATTTAATTTTTTTAGCGTGTTTTTGAAATGTATTCAAATTTTCAAAACATTTTAACAGCTGTGGTCAAGTTAAGTAAAATCAAATAGTATTTGCATGGTCATATTATCATGTGAAATCGCATGCCTTCCTAGCCAAGCCTGTTCTCAGCCTAATTTTATTATTAAAAGGTTGGTTTTCCCAACACCCTAATATATATGGGCAATTCCACGCTAGATAATGAAAAAATAGTCAAATTTTATTTATTTTTTTGCAAACTTTTAACAAATGAATATTGATACAGACACATGAAAGTTTATTTAAAATACTACTAAATAGTACCAAAATTAGTTTAAGTCATTCTGAAAGTTATGGTTTTTCTCATTGTTGCAGCATAAAAAAAGTATCATTGTAAAATATTATTTTCACCATGAATTAATTTAGTGTGAAAATAGAGCTAACATGTTCAATTTGTAGTTGGTCAGATTACTTTATAAAATATATATATTTCAAGAAAATAACAAAAGAACTTTTGCAATTTTCATATAACATAAGTTAACAAAAACATGATAAAATTTTGTTTTTTCTAAAATTTAGTTACAAAACTAAATTTTTTTCTAATATATGCAAAGGAATATTAAATGCCACGTTTTTGCATTTAAAATTATGAATAACGATGCTTAGTTTAAGCACAATTTAATTTTATATTTGTGTAACGTAAGTTAAAACTAGCTCTTTAAAATAGATAAAAAATTCAAGATAATAATCGCTCAGTAAGTGATGTAACATAAGTTATATAAATATTATCAAAAAAACAAGTTTATTTTCCTTAGCCAGTCACTTATGATGAATTTTTAAATATTTTTTTAGTTGGTATAAAATTCTGTACATCTTTTTTAAATTTCCAATACAATTCGCTTTACTGATTCGCAGAAATCTGACTTGAAAGTTGATACAATTTTTTTACCTTGTTTTTTGTGTAACGTTAGTTAAGTGGTATTTTCAGTAATAAGTTCGCACTCTTTTGGCTGGACTCAAAACTTTTATGCTTATTTTATTCTAAGTTTTAATAAGCAAATGTTTGATAAAGTTGTTGCGCGTGTAGTGTAACTTAAAAATTGAATTGCCCAAATTAAAAATGGAATTGCGTATTGCGATCAGCAAATACTTACTAGTTTAGTTTATCCTTGTTTATCCTATTAATTTAGTTTATCCTATGGCTTTTTCAGATGAAGAAGAAAAAATAATAATTATGATAAAAGATTGCTGCCCTTTGAGTGAAGCTTGTTTATATTATATAACATACTTTCTCTATGTTTTTTTACTTCTACCTCTACCTTTTTCCCCTGCAGTTTGTACCTCTCCTGAAGTGGCATTTTCCTGCTGGAAAGTGGCATCTGTTATTCCTATTTTCAAATATTCTGGAGAGCGATCTGACTCATCTAGCCACTGTCCCATTAGTCTTCGTCCTATCATAAACAAGGTTTTTTAGTCTTTAATTAACAAACACTTAATTTTTATCTTGAATCTAATAACTTTCTGATCATCAATATGGAATTCTACTACATCAATCTTCTCATTCTACTGCTGATTTGTTAACGGTAATTACCCATAGGCTTTATGCATTAGATAGATATAGAGAGGTTAATGCTATTGCCCTCAACTTTTCTAAAGCCTTTGATAAATTTTGGCATGCTGGTCTTCTCCTAAAGCTCTCTTCTTATGGTGTATCAGGTAACATTTTTAAGACTATTGAATTTTTAGAAATCCTATTATAAAAGTTATCCTCGATGGACAGTACTTTTCCTCATTTCCATTAACTTTAAGGGTCCCTCAAGGTTCAACCCTTGGGCTTATACTTTTTTATTTTCATCTAACGATCTCCCTGAAATTCTCACGGCTAAAAAAAAACTGTAGGCGAGTTTTAATTTTATAAAGTTCCATTAATATGGTGCGTTTTAAAAAAAGAACCTGGTTTTAAATTTAATATGTGATACATTTTAACTTTATGTAAATTAAATTTGCTATCTTTTTAGAGCTAAATAATTAAATTTGAAGAATATGGTTTTTAAGTGTTGTGTCACTAATGCAGAGGTAAATAATTTTTTATTTTGAAAATAAAAAATGATTTATCCTTTGATAGCTATCACTGTGGTGTTAAGTGCACCATAAAACCTTTTTTTTTACAATCATATGAATATTATTGACTGTATTAGCCGTCTCCATGTTTCAATACACTATCTGAATTCTTTACCAATCGATCACAAGAAAAATAATATTATTGAACAGATGTTAAGTATGAACTCATTAATGTTTATTGGTGAAAAAAAGTATTCTCCTGATATGGTTGCTAGGGCATTTGAGTACTTTTTATTGTCAAGAACTCTTTACTCTCGATTACGTGATGACTACAAACTACCAAGTATATCTTTGATGACAAAGTTGACATCTAAAGTTAGAAATGTTGGAGATAATGATTTTTTAAAGTTGTATTTTGAAAAATGCTCTATATCTCAAAGACAGGTTATTCTACTAATTGATGAAATTTATGTTAAACCATAGTTAACATATCAAGCAGGTATCATTTTTGGTAAATCTGTAAATTCCTCAAATGAGTTAGCAAAAGCAGTTTCGGTTTAATAATTTGTTCTTTATTTGGTCGAAAACAGTTTTTGTATAAACCCAGTAACAGGTTTAGATACTAATTTTCAATACAATCAAACAGTGCAAACAATTGAAGCGATAAAAAAATGTGTTGGTTCTGTTGTTGCTATTCTTTGCGACAATAACAAAATAAAAAGTTTTTTGGAATATTCAATCTCTGTAATACTTGGTGTACTAATGATAACATTTTCCTTGTGGTATGACTTTGTTCATTTAATAAAATCTATTTGCAACAATTGGCTCACAGAAAAATCCCAAGAACTATGCTTTACTTACAAAGGTATTTCAAGAACTGCAAAATGGTCAGATCTTATAAAACTTTTTCTATTTGAAAAAGATGCTATTGTGAAACTGTCTAAACTTAATGAAACAGCAGTTTCTCCTAAACCAATTGAACGTCAAAATGTGTCAACTTGTTTAAGAGTATTTTATGATGAGACTGTAGCTGCTATAAAAACTCATCCATCCATAAAAAATGTTGAAGACACCACAGTCTTTTTATCTATTTTCATAAAATATTTTAAAATTGTAAATGTTGAAGACTTTATGAAGATATTTGTATTAGAGATAAATATTGTGCTGTTTTTTCGTCAAACAATGATAAACGATTGAACTTTCTTTTAAATTTGGCTGATATGGTCGAAAAAATGGCTCCTGAAATACAAGGTCATAGACTAAAAAGTTTAACCAAAGATACTTCTCGTGCTTTTTCCCATACATGTCGTGGGGTGGTTGAACTAGTAAAACATTTACTAACGACAAGTCATAAGTATGTTTGCCTCGGACATTTTACTAGTGACCCTATTGAGAAAGCATTTGAAAAACTTCACAAGGATCAGGTGGTACCTATTTTATAAATGTTCAGCAAATATTACAAAAAGTCGACATTAAAAAAACAAAACTTTGTCTAAATATTGGTATCACTGCTAATGATTTAGAAATGATCATCAAGCCATTTGTGTGACAAATGTAATTATGTATTGCAAGATGATATTTTGTTCAATGTGTTTCATAATCTTCCAGTTATTGAAAGCAATTTATCTAAAGAAATTAAAATGTCTTTGGTTTACATTGCTGGCTATGTCAATAGGGAAGATCCTCCAGTTGAAGATACGTCATTTTGTTTTGAGCAGTTTGGAGATTATGTCAGAGAGATTAATCGTGGTGGTTTAAGTTTGCCTAGAGATAACATTGCCATTGGATATTTTATTCATACATTTTATTTCATCATCTTTACACTTTTGTCTGTTGTGTTAGCTTATCTAACTGTTTTTTGATGGTATCTGATTTTTATGGATTTACCAATGTTTCAAAAAAATATTGTAGAACCCTTGCTAATATATTTTTTAACAACTATTGCCATCTCTATACCCCGCGATCTTCAAAGGAACCCAAAATGAAAATTTTTAAGTTATCTTTAGTGTAGAATATATATATATATATATATATATATATATATATATATATATATATATATATATATATATAATTGAGAGTGATATATATATATATATATATATATATATATATATATATATCACTCTCAATTTATATATATATATATATATAAATTGAGAGTGAGAGAGAGTTTAATTTTAGAAAGTTATTATATCATATAGATTTTAGGGTTTTTTGCACAATAAAATGTGAGTTTTTACTATATTATACCTAATGAAATGTGTTTTGCATTTATTATACAATTTTTTTATTCATTTTGGAGGTTAAATTCATTTAATTTTTACAAAAATTTTATTTATTATATTTTTACATAAATTTTATTTATGACTTACATATAAATCATTCTTTATTAGAAATTAAAAAAAAAGCTGTATGCTTCATAAAAAAAACTCGCCTACAGTTTTTATAAAAGGCATAAGTTTACTCGGCCTGTTACTATAGTAGGCCATGCAACAACCTAGATCTTTCTATATTTATGAATGGTAATGTACTTGAAAAGTCAGCTACCCTTTTGTCTTCTAGGATTTTTATCATCATTCTTTTCAATGTCTTGCCATGTCAGCTGTTTAAGTTAAATTACCGTTTTTAATGTCTGAACTCTTATGTAAGCTCTTGCATGGTGTGATTCTTTCTTTAGCAGTTTTGTTCTTATCAGTCACTAAATATTATTTAGTTCAGTGACTAGGCTTACATCACAAAGAACACTAGAAGCTATGGCAGCAGTGGTTTGAAGTGATACCTTAAATCTTTGGCTTATTAAGGCATCTTTTAAATTATTATGTAAGTTTTCTTTTTATTTGTGAAGAGGATGAAGTCAAGGTATAGGATTATAATTTTATTCATCAGGTTCAGGTTTCTTATTCTCATACATTACCTCATCTTCTAAGAACATTGGTGTTGATGAGGGTTTATCGCCATCAGGCTGCGATAAGTAGAGCACTGTAGAATTAGAACTAATTCTAAGAAGAAGGAATTAGAAGAAACTCTTCTGTCTTCCTAACAGTGCAAGGAGAATTTAATTTCAAGCAATCCAATGCATATTAGGCACTTTGTTGTCAGCAAGAAATGTCTGTTCCTTAAAGGGAACTTGAACTCCTTTGGGCAATGGCAGTATGTAAATGTGGAGCATTTACAACTGCTATATCAAAAAAGTGGTATTCTTCTTTTAATTTCTTCACCCTTGCTTTAGTTGCCATGCTTTTCTCCATTCTTTTATAAACTTACTGGATCAACTTGTTTCTCTGCGCCAAGACTAGATCAACTTGTTTATCGGCACAGTGGCCTTGTTCATCAAGGTTCGTGTTAGGGAGTTATAGAGTTGAGAGAGGGTTGTAACCACAACTAAAAAGTAGCCACTTTGACTGTAGTGACCTTCATGGCCTTGGAAATGTGAATTAAAAAAATAATAGTTATAAAAAAGATATAATATGGTTCTTGTGATAAATAATATATCAATACATAATTGATATGATCAAGGACATGTTTCTTTGAAACTATTGGAATAGAAGTATCAGTAAAGATATTGTTATGTTAATTTTTTTAGATTCTGCTTGCATTAATAAAGATATTGTTATATTGGGTTCAGGATTTATAGGTTAGTTAAAAATATTATTCAAATTCAATAAATATAACAAAAACATGAAACAATAGATATATATGTTGCATATTGTAATATATATATATATATATATATATATATATATATATATATATATATATATATATATATATATATATATATATATATATATATATCATATATATATATATATATATATATATATATATATATATATATATATATATATATATATATATATATATATATATATATATATATATATATATATATATTGTTACTTTAGATATATTATAAAATATATAAATTTATAACAACTCTCTTGATATTATAAATACATTTCATAATAGAAAATTTCTTAAGGTATGGAGTTAGCATGTTACTTTGTCAATAAAGCAAAATCAGTTTCTGTTGTTGGTCTTACAAATGTTCCGTTTGAAAAATTGTTGGGAGAACGTGTAGGAAAATCATTAAAAATGGTAATAAAAACTAATAGTAATAAGTTTTATTTTTTTAACTTTCTATTTAACTTTCAAAATGTTTTATTTAGTTACATATAGCTAAAGGCGTAAAATTTTTTGAATCTTCAATAAAAGAGTTGATTGGTACACAAGGAAAGGTTAATCTTTTATTACTTTTAAAAATTTAGTTAAATTTTTTTTTTTTTTTTACTTAATTGTTTGACATACCTAAATATAATTATTTATGATACTTTTATACTTTATTATACTTCTTTTTTAATTATTTGATTTTAGTTTTGTTTATTTTTTACTTAATTTAGTTTTAAAATAGTGCATATATATAATTTGAACCACAAATAGTTTTTTTGGTTCATGTTTGCCATATGTCAAATGTCAAGAATTATGTCTTGTGCTCTCAACAAAAATATTGTGATGGATTGTTGCTTATTTTTGTGACACCCTAAAATTAAACAGGTCAATAAAAATATATTTTTGTAAAACTTTTTGAACAAATGCAGCTGAATTTTAGGCATTTTTAGGTTATGTGAACATATGACACTATAGTTCTCTCACAAAATGACTTCAATTTTATTTTTAAAGGTTTAAATAAGTTTTATAAAAATAAAAATCTAGATGTTCTTTAGGTAAAACTAGGTGTAATTTATTTAACACATTGTGTATCAATTCAATATAAACCATTATATTAAATGTTTATTTTATTGTATTTCTTTTGTCTTATATTTTTGAAGATTCTTGTCGTTCAACATCCAAGATTTTAAACTTATCCTAAAGGTACCAATAGTTAATACCACAGAAATATTTTATATATATTTAACCTAAATATTTTATGGTGTTTTTAACAATTCACAAAAACTTACTCAAAACTTTCTTAAGTTTTACCTTTTTCTCTTTTGTTTCAATGTTTTAATCAAACATCATATTACAAATATCAGGTCCAATAAAAATACCTTTATTGGCTTTTGACTTCTGATATATGAGAAAACCTTTTTGTATAAATACTTTTAATATTAGTAAATTCCTTTTGTCAAAAAAGCAAAAAACTTTTAAATCTTCACATTCTGAGCAATATAGTTAATTTAAAGATGGTATTTCGAATTTTATGAGTTTCCTTCTTATGAACTAAATGCACCACATGTTATGATGCATAATTATTATCAATGTGTAAAAAAACATCTTTTAAGCTTGTTTTTGATGAGTCTTTATTAATATATTTAAAAAATTTATTTATTAGACCAATTATCTTCCCTACAAAAACTTAGCAAACTGTTGATTTCTTGTTCTATATTGATTAATAGATGTTTCAGGTCTCACAAATATTTTTTCTTAAGAGCCAAGAAACTCAGATTTTTTTAAACCTAAACTTAAATCATTGATCTCATCTTTTGTAAATAGTTTTTCTGTTGAGGTTATGTTGAGCAGTCTTCCACAGGAAGATGTGCAATCGCACGCAATTATATGACCACGCAACCGCACGCAATTATATGACCATGCAAAAAATAATTTGTTTTAACAATTTGACCATCAGGCTTGGTCGGGAAGCGGGAGCGATCGCTCTCGAGTACTGACCACGGAAATTAAATTTAGTTGCGAAAAACTGGCCAGGTTTTTTTAATCGTTTTGAGAACATTTAAGTTTATGTACGAAACAAAATTTTTTTATTCTACGGACATACATGGAAACATAATAAACTTGAATGTTCCCAAAACATCTTTGTGCGAAAGAATAAAAAGAATATTCGCGAACACTAAAAACCTGCCAAATCAACGAAGAAACTAATTCTATTGGTTCAAAAAATAGGCTAACTTTGCGAAATAAAGTTCTAGAGTATTCTGTTAAAATGTTTTAAAAAATGTTTTGAAACGTTTTTTGAAAGATTTTTAGCATAAATTGTTTTAAGAATAAATATATTATTTGTTTACAAAAATAAAAGTTTTAAATATATATTAAATTGTCAAAATGTTAAAAGTTTATTATAAATTATAGATTTTATTAGTATATTCTTATTTTTTATTTAAAAAGTATGTATTCTTTATGTAAAATTAATTTTGTTTATCTGTTTTTTATCGTAATGTATCTTTTAAAGCAATTTTTACGATTTAAACAAAGACTTACAAAAATAATTGCGTTTTCAATGAAGTTATAATCGTTATAGTTAATAAAACTAATTACGTAACAAACATATAAGAAGTTTCTAGTTACTAAACACAAACAACGCGTACAAAGTAACTCGCAGATGAACAAGCAACGCGCTTAAGGTCACGACAGAACACAAATATATATAGCAAATAATTAGATATAAAGAAAAGTTACTAGATATTGGTTTACTAACTCTAATTATTTTTGCTTAAGTTGCCATTCTAAAAACTCGTTATACTTTTTTCTGCTTTAAATACCAATTAAAACTAAAAAGCCCACTCACTAAACATCACCAGCGGTATTGTGAAGCAGTTTCGCTTCCTCGTCATAAAGTATTGTTAAGTTGATATTGTTAATTTAATTTCTATGATTTAATTATTTCATTTGTTTATCTTACAAAGAAGAATTGCTTCAAATATGTTAAACTTTTCAAACTACGAGAAACATAAAACAGGTATTAAAAAAATTAACTTTATTATTTATAAAATAATTTAGCTAAAGTAAAACTAAAACTTGCAAACTTTGTTAAATAAAGAATATTTGTTTCCTTTTTAAACAATCGTAAGTTGTTACTTTATATAAAAAAAATCGCTTAATTTTATAAAAAAATTATAAAAGAGCGATGTTTTGAAAATATTTGTTTTAAACATAATTTATTTAGCTTTAAGTTTTTTCGCGTTTAAAGATATTTTATTTACCTATTTTTTTATTTTTTTTTTGTAATTGTCTCTCATCGGTCCAATTAATCTTTAGCACTTTTTTTTTTCGCTTTTTAAAATGTTCTCAAAACGACTAAAAAATCTGGCTAGCTTTTCGCAACTAAATATTATTTACGTGGTCAGCAATCGAGAGCGATCACTCCCGCTTCCCGACCAAGCCTGTTTGACCATGGCTTTTGACATTTTCAAAAATACGTTACAAAAACTTACTTAAACTTATCTAAAAAAAACTTTAAAAAAGAAAAAAAAAATCTCAACAAAAGAGAAAATAAAAAAAATGCTTAGTCTATTTAATTTATGCATTAAAAAACCATTTCATTTTTTGTTTTAACATTTGTACTTTGTTTTTTGTTTTTTAATATGTTTAAAGGTAAACATTTATCATAAAAAATACATAATTATACAAGTAAAAAAAAAACAAGTTTTTTATACTTATTCTAAAAATTCATTAGCAGAATTTTTAGAATAAGTATGTTTTGTTACTTCATTAAATAAAATAAACTTCATTAAATAAAATAATATAAAAGTATTTAAGATTAAACTTTTTTAATTGTAACGGCTTTCTTAAACATTTGTCTTTTTTTTTTAACAAAATTTTGTTTATCTTTTCAAATGTATTAATTTTAATTATTTATATATTTAAATTCATTAAAAAGACTTTCGTTGTCGTAGAATGTCATCGTTTATTAAAAAAAAAAAAAAAAACTTTTAATAACGTTTATTATAAAAAATGCACACTTAAACAATTTATATATTATAAATTAAAAAAATATATACAGCTGTATATATATACCAGCTATATTATAAATTAAACACATTAAAACTCCATTTTTAGCTATTAATTTGTAAGATAGTATTTTGCAAAAATTTTGAATGTCTAATATAATTTCACAATAAAATAAAATAAAATTTTTCTCTGTTTATGGAAATTTTTTGATGTTTCTAATTTTGAGTATGCTGAGTCTGAATATGATATTGGTTTTTTTATTGCATCAACGGTTTTATCATAAAACCAAAAATTCAATTAAATATAATTAATATTAATCATATTGCATGAAATACAACTTTAGTCAATATATAACATTTACTAGTTTAAAAATGTTATGTTACAAAACGTCATTTTACATTAAGTTACATATAATGTTGCATTATGTTCTAATGTAATAGTCTCTCAAAATCTCAAAAAACACTAGAAGTGAACAGTAGAACGTGGTTTTCTTTTATGAAGTTTGTCATCATCGCGTATCAAACGCCAGATGTAGTCACCCATCATAGCTGCATCCCATCTGCCTTGGTATCTTTTCTCCATTGCATGGATATCCTGATGAAAACGTTCTCCATGCTCTTCACTCACATCACCCAATTTTGGTTTGAAAAAGTGTGAATGCAGGTAATGCAGCTTTATTGACATTCTGCATTTCATATCTGCATACCGTCTAATTAAGTTTTCCACTAGCTTTTTCTAGTAATCACTCTTATTGTTGCCTAAAAAACTATGAACTTATGTCTAAATGCAATGCATGCTTCTTTTTCAACAGCAGACATCTTGTCCTCCGGCTCTTTACTTGCCAACATAACTTTAATCTGCGGACCGATGAATACACCTGCTAAAATTTTTGCATCTGTTTCCTTTAGAAACATCTGCCGAATATGCTAAAACGCTGCACTAGCTGGGTTTAATGCTTTGACAAATTGTTTGACAAGAGCTAGTTTAATGTGAAGAGGTGGTTGTAAGATCTTCTCAACAGGTATCAGGGATTGATTAATAACATTGTGCGAACCAGGCTGAAAAAGTTCTCTCATTGGCCACTCACGTCTCGTTCAGTGCTGGTCTGCAGCCCTGCTATCCCATAAAAAAAGAAAACATGAGTACTTTGTGTATCCTCCTTGTAGACCGAGAAGAAACGCTAGCATCTTAAAGTCTCCACATACATCCCACTTGTAACTGTCGTAGTTGATTTTCTCAAGTAACAACTTAACATTCTTGTAGTCTTCCTTTAGATAGAATGAGCTCCTGAAGAACGGAATGAGCTACTGGAATCGAAGGAAATCGGTTTCTGTTATGGAGCAAAACTGCCTTTAAACTTCTAGTTGAACTGTCAATGAATAACCTCCACTCTTTAGGATTGTGAACAATGCCAATGTCATTGAAAAGACCACGAACGTCGTGACAGTAGCACAGTAATTCTGATACTACATAAAAGGATGCAAATGTGTCATGTCTTTTTTGGTATTTTGAGGTAATGCAGCTTGGATCTAATAAATTTCATTCTTTCAAACGTAATGTCAGAAGTTCTGCATTTGATTTAGTGAGGTCTAAATCTCGTACTAAGTCATTAAGTTCTTGTTGGTTAGGGAAATTAGGTGAATCATTCGGTTCCCTGAAATCACAGTCATCACGGAGTTCATCCGGTGTGTCTACATCAAATATGCAGATATGCAGCTGCTTCTTCAGGTTGAGGTGGGTTAGGAACAGGCAATTCATCGCTGTGTGGAACTGATCCAATAGAAGAAGGTATACTTGGATAAACTAGAGTCAGCCTATCATTTGGCTTTTTATACTTTGAATTGTCAACCATGCAGAAATAACAGTCATCATGATGGTTTGTCAGTTCTCTCCATATTCTCGGAATCGCAATAGGCATTGACTTTCGAATTCCATGCAGCCATCCTTCCAGTTACTGCATAATACAGGGATTATCTTTTTCCGGACATTTCCGGAATTCCGGATATTTTGTTAAACTTTTAGTTTTATTATGTATTTAAACATTTTTAATACATGCATGTTGAGGTATATATTTTTGTAATATATTTGTTTTTTAAGCTTTTTTACTCATCACTCATACAAAAATTATAAAAAATGTCAAATAAAATTTAAAACAACTTATCTAAAAGCAAAATTAAAAAGAAAATAAGGGAAAACAAAATCCGGATTTTTTCCAGATATTTTATTCAAACAATTTTCCGGATTTTTAAAATATGACTAGGATGATCTATGACAATATGCAATAACTGACACTATTATGTTTAGTTTGTGTTGGAATAATATAGTAACCACAAACATAACAAAATGAGTCAGGACAAAGCTTGCAGGATCTACTAGACATTCATCACTTCATATAACAGTTGTAATTAGTTAAACTGAAAATAAACAAAAGAGTATAGTTAACTCATTCTCTCAGTAGCATTTGTTAAAAAAATTGTACCTAAAATGTGCTAATATTTATTTAAAAAAATGCTTTAAATCAATATTAATAAACATAAAAAATAACAAAGGAATACCTAAAAAAAATTGAATACCTAAAAAAACTAAAGTTAGGAAAATATTAATAGTTATAGAAAAAAGACACAAAATATAGAAAGCCACTAACAGTTTTTCACTAACACTATATGTGTAATGCATTTATAACACTGTTATAAATGCATTACACATATAAGAAAACTCCAAAATATACTTTATGCTTTTTCTCAGGAAATCTTGATGATAGAGCAAAACCAATGATACCACTAAAATCAGCATACCAAAATTATTTAAGAAACTTTAAAGAATTAGTATAAACATAAATGTTGTTACATAATGTTTTTTAATGTTGTTTTAAAATTAAGTGAATATAAAGTTTTTAACAATCTAGCAATTAAAATGTCTTAAGTAAAACTAGAAAAACAAAAATCAAATTATTTCAAAAAAAACTTTTTTTTGAAAAGGTCAATATCAGGTTTTCACAGGAAGGCGTGTGATTTCATTTCTTTATATGACCACGCAAAATATAATATGTTTTAACGATTTAAAAAAATAATATGTTTTAACGATAGCCTAAACTTATCTAAAAAAAATAGTAAAAAGAAAAAAAAATTCTAACAAAAGAGAAAAGAAAAAAGAACTTAGTTAAAACAAAAACACAAAATAATAAATATATATACAACCCAACTAAAACAAAACTCATTAAACTAAAATGCTTGAAAAAAAAAAATCTTCTTAATTTATGCATTAAAAAACCATTTCAATCTTTGTTTTAACATTTGTACGTTTTTTTTTAAATATGTTTCAAAAGAAAAACATTTCTCTTAAAAAATACATAATTATATAAATAAAAAAAACAACACTTTATTAATACTTATTTTTAAAATTAATTAGAAGTGTTTTTTTACTTCATTGAAAAGCGTTTCGAAAATTTAAAACCTGCGATAATATAAAAGATCAAACTTATTTAATTGTAACGGCTTTCTAAAACTTTTTTTTCAACGAAATTTTGTTTATCTTTTTAAATGTATTAACTTTAATTACTCTTTTATTAAAATTCGTTAAAGAGACTTTTGTAGTCCTAGAATGTCATCGTTTATAAAAACAAAACAATTTTTTAATTTTTAATAAAGTTTATTATAGAAATGCAAACTTAAACAATTTATATATTATAAATTAAAAAAATATATACAACTGTCAATTATTTAAAAAAAAAAAAAAAATTAAGTAAATTGATACTTTATTTAAAAGTGTTTCGCTAATATAAAAACATTTGATGTAAGTAATTTTACTTTTTCAGAATAATTTTTATTTAGTGCGTTTTTAAAATGTTTTTTGAATTAGCCGCGGTCAAATCGTCATAGCAAAATGTAATTTGCCTGGTCATATAAAGGCGTGAAATCGCACGCCTTCCTGTGAAAGCCTGAATAGAGCGACTATTAAAAAAAGTGAATGTCCTAGACCATGTCTGATAAATTGCTGAAAGAAAGTCAGGATCGTCAATTGTATTCCTATTTTTTGAGTTATTCTTACTAACATTAATGCTACAAAAATAAGTAACATCGGAATGAACTTTTGTTTCTATAGTTACTGCAAATCTAATACATTTCTCTCTTTTTGATTATTTTCTTATGTCTAACACAAACATAGCATATTGGAGACCAAAATTTTTTTTTTAATGTTATGTATATATTTAATCTATTATTTTTTGATTTATTTTTGTTTACTTAGCACATTTTTGTTTGTTTAAAAAAATTATTTTTTCACAAATCAAAACTTATTACATATATTTTTTAATTTCATAGGTGGTTGGAGTTGTACTTACTGATGGAACTTTGATAAAAACTGATGTAGTCATTTCAGCAATAGGTTTACTTTATAAATATTTTTTGTATGGTTATAGAAATAGAGTTTAAAAGTATATATATATATATATATATATATATATATATATATATATATATATATATATATATATATATATATATATATATATATATATATATATATATATATATATATATATATATATATATATATATATATATATAGGTATATAGATATATAGATATATATAGATATATATATATATATATATATATATATATATATATATATATATATAGATATATATATATATATATCGTCCTTCACGTTTAACACGCTCATTTTTGGAGTGTTTATGGATTGCATGTGCGTCAAAAAACTTAATTAGCGAGCGTTTGTTTAAAACACTCGCTAATTAAGTTTTTTGGCGCACATCCCAAGGCCTGATATATATATTATAATTATATTTTATATAAAATAAAGTAAATAAAAAGTTATAACTACTACTGATTAACGAATTGTTTACCTTAAATAAAAAAAGAAAATATATAATTAGTAAACAAAAATGTAAATAAAAGCAAGTGAAAATTGCATAAAGTTGGAATAACCTCTCATTAGGAGCTTATTTTAAAATTTTTTTTAATGTAGACCTTCAGGGTTAATCAGAGAGTAGAGTGAAGGTTTTTGTTTATAAAAACCTTCATTTTTTATTATAGAGTGAAGGTTTTTGTAAGATAATATGCCACCTTTTAATAGAGAGTGAAGGTTTATAAGCAAAATATCCCACTTTTTTAAAGGTTTATAAGATAAAATGCCTTTTTTTTTTTTTTTAAAGATAGTGAAGGTTTATAAGATGCCACTCTTTAATACATAAAATCACATAGATTAATATATGATTTCCAAAGTGTAAAATAAATATTTTTTTAGGTGTGAGCCCTTCCACAGAATTTCTTGAAAACTCTAGCGTTGTAAGGGATGAGCGTGGCTTCATAAAAGTAGATCAGGTGAACATTGTTTTTTCAAAGCTTTAAAAGTACAGTTATAATTACTAAAAAAAAAAAAAACTCATGTTATTAAAATACATTTTCTTTAAAAATTAAAAATTTTGCGGTTATAAAAATCTTTATTAATCATAATCATAAAATGAAAAGTTTTTGTGATTATGGAAATTTTTATTAATCATAAAATGAAAAGTTTTTGTGATTATGGGAATTTTTATTAATCATAAAATTTATAAAGCACATTTTTTAAAGTACAAATTATTTATACATAAGTTTAGTATGTAAATATACAAAAGAAATATTAAACTAAAAATTAAAATAATATTAAACTAGCTTTCCAGATTTGTAAAATGCGGGTCTTGGTAAGTCTTTTCTACACTGACATTTTCTATACTTATTTTTTATTTTTATATTTTTTAGTGAGTGGTAGAAAATCTATACATATTGTCTACCTTTTAAAGTTATAAATAAAAAAATAATTTATAACATAATATTTAGAAATTTATTTATTATTCTGAATTATATTTTGAACACTTGAAATGTGTTGATAATTTACAATTGATATCTAAAGTAAAAAAAAAACATTTGGAATTAAGCTTAAAATCGTGTGGAATAATGAACTTATAATGATCTATATAATACGGGTAATGGTAAGTCTATTCTACTCCGACCATTTCTATATTTATTTTTTTTTTAATTTCAATACTTTTTATTAATGTTAAAGGGATCCCAAATTCTCAACACATGTTGTATTCATATTAAAGATAATGTTGAAAAAAAGGTTTGAACCAAGTTTTTTTTGATTAAAAATAAATAATGAATGCACACCCAGAAAAACTAATCTTGTCATTTTAGTCAAAGCTGGCCTTCCCCATATTAATGAAAAAAATGGAGTCTTTAAATTATACCTTGCAATCTACAGACTTCGGTAATTTCTTTGAAGTGCATTTAATTCATAAAAGTTTAAATATTAGGTCAGGGCAGACTTGACAAATAAAACTCTGGAAAAATTTTTATTTTTATTCATAAATTTTTTCATTATTTGTTTAGTTATTTATTTTCTAATTTTAACATTTAAAAAGATATTAAAAACCTCAAATATTTTATGTTTTTTTATGCTTGTTTGTTGCTATAAATTGTTATTGCGCTATATATAATGTTAATAAATGGTTAAGTATTTCAATCCAGATTCAGATAAAATATTGTTTTATATTAATTACCCATATAAAAATAGTAACAGCATTTTTATTTGGTTAGACGATATTTTTAATTTGCTTTGCATGAAGTTCGGAAAGTCAAACGAAAAAACTTAATAATCATGTCAAAATATGTTTTGACATGATTATTAACAAATGATTTCAATGGCGGGGGTACTAAAGTCTTTTTGTAATAAATGTAAATAAAAAATAAATAACTCAATAACTAAAATTCAACATTAATCTTTTTTTTATTATATTGTAACTGTAAATATTAAAATATTAACTTGAACTAAATTTACTACTCAAATTTTGTGTGAAAAAGTCAGACATCACACCGTCTATTGTTTTGTAAAATTTTCATCAGGTGTATTCACATATTCACAAAATTTATCTTATTTAGCCATGTGAGAATATATTTAAATAAATTTATTTTGAAAAACATGTGTTTCGTACTTTTTTTTTATTTCTTATTTTGTTTTATTTACAAAATTGTAATTTTTATGACTAAATGTTGCAAAATTATTAAAATTGTTTATTGTTGTGTTTATTGGAAAACTTGTCTTTGTCAATTTTGTTAGTTTTTTAATTTTCCATGATAAGAGACAAATACAGCACATTCAAATCAAATCAGCGTAATTAAAAAATATTTATAATAAAAAAATTTAACAGTTCATCAAATATCTAAAATTAAGAGAGCTCTTATAACGTTCTATATAATGTAAAATACTCGCATAAAAATCATAAGATTGGTAAGTAAAGCTTTAATATTTGTTTTAATTTAAAAACAAAAGTAAGATATCTAAAAATTTAGATATCTGTAAAAACTAAGTTGCTCCTATAAAATAAAAATAATTTATTATTTTTACTTTTTACAAGTTTTTTTTACGATGTTTTAAAAAATGATACAAATAAATTTGTTTTCTGTTTTCTGTATGTACTTTTTAAATAAAAGTAGAAAAGCTTCGTTTAATCACATTTTGCATTTCTCAAAAGTCTACCATGACATCAAATACTAAAACTTTTATGAATTAAACACGATTTAAAGGAATCGGTAGATTGCGACGTATAATTTAAAGACTCTGATTTTTTGAGTAAAATGGTGAAGACCAGCTTCGACTAAAATGACAAGATAAAATTTTCTTGGTATGCATTCATTATTTATTTTTAATCAAAAAACTTAGTTCAAGCCATTTTTTCAACATTATCTTTAATAGAATACAACATGTGTTGGGATCTCTTTAATGTTTTATTTATTAACAATTAATGTTCAATACTTTATAACTTACAGCAAAGTTGTAAACTTCTATAATAAAAAAAAATGGATGTGGGCTCATTAATTTATTTCTTTATTAAGTTTCTATTAGGTTTTTATTAAATTTTTTTCTAGACCATCTGCAGCTTATTAGGACCCTCATCCCATAAATTAATTTTTGAAGAAAATAAAAGCTTAAATGTAAAATCTTTTTTGCTTTAAGAAAAACAGTTTCTTTAATGTGTGTTAAACGCACAGACTTAACTAATTACCTGAGCACATTAATATCATAACCACTTTTTGATGTTAATAGAAATATAAGCTTTTTTAAAAACTCTCTCCCTTTTGTTTGTTATAATATATAATATCTGTATATGATGTTATGTGTAACATCAATAGAACTTTAAAGATGTTTTATTTTATATTTTAGAAAATTAAATAGATTTAAAAAAAAAATGCGCAAGCAACAAGGTTTGAACCCTCGTTGTATTTGTATTTTGGAATTGTACTTTAGAAGTGCAGTGAGAACATTGTACCAGTGAACTTTGGTAGGGCAGTGAGTTAACCACTTTGGCGCATTTATCTTCCAATTTTTAACACTATTTAATAAACAAAAGATTGAATAACTTTAAACCGCAAATAAATTAAAGTTAAGGAGATTTTGCTGCAATGCAATTTTAAATAAAAACTTCTTAAAAAAAAAAAAATTTTCTTTAGAACTTCAAAAATGTTTTATTTTGTATTTTAAAAAATCAAAAAAGATTTTTAAAAAAATGTGGAAGCATAAAGGTTTGAACCACAGCAGTTCACATCAGAAACGCTGTGAGCTAAGCACTTTGTCCACTAAAACGCATTGATCGACAAGTATTTTAACACTATTTAATAAACAAAAGTCTTTGTACAACAACAAATAAAGTCTATAAATAAATATTAAGGAGATGTTGCTGCAATGCAATTTTCAAGTAAAAATAAAATCGTAAAACTTGATATCATTTGATTAATTTGAAGTTACATAAGCTATTTTCATACACTTTTTTTCACATTTTCTTATAAAAAGTTTTCTTAATAAAATCTTGCCACTAAATAGGGTGTAATGGGTGCCATGAGTTATGCGCAAAGACGCACAAATGATAACAAAACAGCAGCAGCAAGTTCAGTATTAAAATATAATAAGATTTATCATCTTATTGTTGGCGGCCTAAATTGATCTAAGGAGCATTTTTTTAGAACGTGAAGAAAAGTTTTAAGCAAACTGTGATGTTGTTTTGATGTTTTGTTGATGTTGTTGTTTTGATGTTTTGAACCTCAACTCTCTGGTTCAATTTTAAGAATTTTCACAAAAAATGAAAAAAAAACTTTAACTTGAAACTTTAGCTTGAACCACTTTAACCACTGCAGAACTATAGCAAACAAAAATAACAGAAATCTGATCTAAACTGACAAACTATAAGTATTCAGACAATTAAAAATATCATAACTTTGTAATTTGTACTGCAATAAAAATAATTGAATTTTTTTTTTTTTTTTTAGTTTATGAAGTGCTACACTGATGTTTATGCTGGAGGTGATATTGTGTCTTTTCCATATGTTTATGATTCTGGTAAATATATAAATATTGGCCATTGGCAAGTAGCATCTGCGCATGGTGAGTTTTTTTTTTAAAATCTTTTATTTGATTAAGAAATACTATTAATAAGCAAACCAAGAATCCTCCCAGTTTGCACCAGATGCCCATCTAATGTGTGCCTGACTTCAAGGAAATTCAGTTCTGTTTTACAGGTTATCTATAGTTGTAGTTGCCATTCATTGACTAATTGTTTTTTGTTATAAGTTTATGGTTACCATTAAAAAATTTTAATTTTTTCTTTTATACAAAGTTTCCACATTTTTCCAAGTCATTTTCAAAGTTATTTGGAAAAATTTTTATATTAATGATAAAAAAATAATGAAATGCTTTCATTAAATATTTTTTTATTTATTTTTTGCTTTTTATTTGATTAAAACTTTGATATCAACTTGTTTTCTGTTTTTTGTTCAATCGTTTTTTTTTTTCACTCGTTTTTTGTTTACTTATTTTTTGAGTCACATGACTAAATGTTAATTGATTTATTCAAAATAAAAACAAACATTTTTATGTTAAACTACAAATTTTTGCTTTTTCATTTTCAAATTTTTAAATGAAGTATTTTATAAATTACTTTTATAAAATACTTCTTTTAATTATTATTATCACAATGTACTTTTGTTTATAATTTATATTGATTATGTTCTCACTTCTTTAATAATTTTTGTTACTTTTTAGGGCGTAATGCAGCTCTTAACATGCTTGAAAAGAATGTTCCACTTATTACTGTGCCATTTTTTTGGACTTCATTGTATGGAAATTCACTCAGATATGCTGGTTATTATTTATTTTTCTCAAGTTTGTTGGTATTTTCTCTCATATTTTAAAAGCCTTTTATAATTCAACTTTTATTCGATTTTTAAAATAAGTTTTAAATGATTTTTTTACATCTAAATATTTTTTACTTCTAATTAATTCTTGATTATGAAGATAGTCCTTTTCTAATCCTGATTATGGTCCTGATTTTAAAGTTTTCTTTCATCATTTCTTTACATTAATTTCGGGAAAATTGTCTGTTTATATTCCAAAAATGAATATTTTTTCCATAATCTTTTTAAAATGGATTTGAAAAAAACAAACTTAGCGTTAAGTTAACTTCAAGTCAAATGAAATATATGAGACATAAAATACATATATATGATTTTGTAAAAAACATTGTTAGGTTAGAGGATGGGGTAATCGAAATCTAATTTTAGTTATTTTTGATATTGAGAAAAAATATATAACATCTTTTTTTTTTTTAAATAAAATCATGATTGGACATCATTTTTAGTAAATAACATTAAAATTTTTTTTATATAATTGTTAAAGTTAAGAGCATCAATTTTAGTTCAATAGTTCCACATTTAGACCCACATTTATCCCATTTACAATAGTTCCACATTTACCCTGTTTAGTGGGGTAATGTGGGTCTAAGTCACATTTTTATCTTTTTGGATGAAGTTTACCAATTTATAATAAAATATGACTGTAGTCATTGAATATGTATTATATTTAAATTATTTGGTTAAAAGTTAAAAAATAGAAGTGCTTTAATTAAAACATAATGTAAACATAAAAATACTTCAATTGATGTTTTAAATGTAAAAGATCTTTACACTTTCAAAGCAAACAAGTTAGAAATATAAAATAAATTTTTTTATCTCATTCATTTATTTTCGAAAAAAAATTAGCGCTTTCTTGCGGTTTAATTTCTACAATTTTATTACCACTGTGCTAAATATATAAAATTAATATAGTTCTCCATATTGAATATATAATACTCATTTTGTAAGTCAAAGTATTTATAAAAAGTTTAAACATAATAAAATTTTGTTCAAAGAAGAATTTTAAGCAAAAGCTCAATTGAAAATTAGCTAAAATTCCATAAAAGCTATGCATCTATCTGTCTTCATAAAAGCTAAGCATCTATCTGTCTTCATAAAAGCTATGCATCTATCTGCCTTCATAAAAGCTATGCATCTATCTGTCTTCATAAAAGCTATTAAAATTAATTGAATCTAATTATCTAGTAACTTTTTTTCCAGATAAAACATTTTTTATATGTTAGAGTTTTGATGTTTTTTTGAAGTTTAAGGTTTTTGATATCTTTTTAAATGTATGCACAATTTTGAATCAAAAACTTAAGAATTTGCTTAGTAAACTAGTTATTAAAAATTAATAAGCTTGTAACCACCTATAACATAGAAAAGAAAGATTTTTACCAAAAGCTTTCTACTGAAAAACTGATAAATGTTGATTAGACCCACATTACCCCCATGGACCAACATTACCCCACCCTACCCGACAGAAAGTTATCCCATCCTACAGAAAGTTACCTCACCCTACTTAATACCTATAGTAAAGCATTGCATTTAATTCTTAAATAATTACTTTCTGTTGAAATAGAATCGCATCTTAATTTTTAGGACTCCATCAAATTACATATTAGAATTAGGATTTTAAATATTGTTTCATAAGTTGTTTTGATCCTTTGTGAATCAAGATCATCTTGGATTGTGATTATACTCATCTCTGGTTAGTGAATCAAGATCATCTTGGATTGTGATTATACTCATCTCTGGTTAGTGAATCAAGGTCATCTTGGATTGTGATTATACTCATCTCTGGTTAGTGAATCAAGATCATCTTGGATTGTGATTATACTCATCTCTGGTTAGTGAATCAAGATCATCTTGGATCTTGATACTCATCTCTGGTTAGAGCTATTTAACCCTGAAAATATTATTAGCTGACTGGCTTTTTTTTAATTTAATTTTAAATTAAACATATAAATAAGTATTTACTTGAGCAAAAAATGTTTGTTCAAGTTTTATTATTAAGTCAAATTTTTTGCTGTCTCACCACTGTATTAAACAAAAGTTAGAAAATAAGGAATTTCAGTCTTTTTTTTATTGGTTCAAGTAAGCAATAAATAAAAACATATTTTGTTCAAAATTTATCGCTGTTTTATAGCTAAATGTATTTTGCACAGAAAAATAAATTGAACTGTTCCATTAGTTAAGATTGAAAAATGTTATCAGAGAAACTTCCAACTTTTTTGGAATCAAACTAGTTAATTATTTATTAAACCAAAGAAACATTTCATTTAATTCTGATGCTATTGGATTTATTTAAAGTATCTTTTTTTGAAAATTTTTTAAATAGTGTAAGGAACTAAGATTATTTTGAAAATACCACAAGGAATGAAACCAACTTTAATATTAAAAATTTATTCCAAAAGTTAAAATTTAATAATTATTTTATAACCAGTTTAAACATGTTAAGTTCAGTTCGATTTTAAACATGTTAAGTTCGATTCTATTTAAACATGTTAAGTTCGATTCTATTTAAACATGTTAAGTTCGATTCTATTTAAACATGTTGGGTTCAATTTGATATAATAATTTTTTATTTTTATACATTTTTAAATATAAGTTTTAATAAAACTCTATTTTTATTGCCGTGTAAATGCGGTTCAATAAAACTTTGTTTATACCTCCGTGTATATGAATCAGTGTTTTTTAAAAGGGCTGATTTGCTTAAAACTTGTTTTTGAGAAAACTAAAAAAAACTATTTATATCTTTTAATATTAAATATACAGATTTTGTGTAACATATTTTTAAAAAATATATGCAAGATTAACATCTTAGTACACTTTGATAATTGTTAAAGCATTTCGTTTGTTAATATATGAAAGTTCCAAAAATTCGCCCTTTAAAAAAAAATCGAAATATTTCGAATAAATTGAATTTGTAATATTTTGCACTCCAGGCTTTAAAATCAAAAAATTCAGTTGCATCTACAATTTCTTTCACCATAAACTTTTGTGATCTGGAGCTGCTAATAATAAGCTCAGTGAGTTGATGCATGTGATAAAGACGGTCATGTGTTTTTAAAATGAAATTATATCAAAGTCCCTATGGGACTTTGATATAATTTCATTTTAAAAACACATGGGAGGAAACTATGCCCTCTCATTTCACATGGGAGGAAACTATGCCCTCTCATTGGGAAGAACTGTTCGACTTTATCAAACCTACCACTGTCAGTTAATTATAATCAAAAACGTGATAAGGTCTGATTTGTGTTTTGTCCACTACAGTTGTCACAAAACAAACCTAATGTATTATACTTTGATGGAACTGAGATCAAATAATCATTTAAAAAGGTCGCAACTTCATTAGGCCCTTTTCTTCCTTGACCTTCATGATATATATATATATATATATATACATGACTTTTATCTTCTTTAATGTTATGTATAGAAAAAACATTGACTGATAGCTGTCTCATATAATAAAGTTGTTGGACAGGTATTTTTGGCAAGCTCATTGTCTTCATATAGTCAAATGCCAATGATAGAATGTGCTCCTCTTTTAAGCCATTTTCTGATGTTTCATGTTTTAGAGCATTGTAAAATTTATTACTCCTGCACTTATGAACATCTAAATCAGTCTGCACTGCTTTTTTATCTTCATCATTGAGATGTGGTGATTTCGATCTAAGATTTAATTCTTCACACGTGCAACCAGTATCCACTTGTGGGCGCCCAAACCGTAAGTTAAAATTAGTTTTAAAATGGTTTCAGTAAAAAGACTTGCTCACTTTTAAATCTGGATTTTTTTCACAAAAAAATTGCCACATTGTTTTTACATTTAAACTTGCATTGAGGTAATATACTTTTTTCCCTGAGTAATGTGATTCCTTGAGTGGAAATTTTATCTTCAGGGGTTATTCCAATTACCTTAAAGTTCCTTATTCTCCGTAATCATAAAGGTGTTTGTAATAAGGATCAACTGTTTGAACAAATCCAAAATGCCTGTGCAGCGATTCCACAAAGTTTCATTGATCACCTGATCGAATCTATGCCTTGCAAGGCTGTGATCAACATCAAAGGATTCGATAGTGAAATACAGCTTGGTCAACATTTTGTGGAGTTGCACTTGTTTTGTCCAGAAGGAAATCAACTTTTTTTAATACTTTTGATAAATTTATTAATTTTTGTGTACAAATAATGAACTTTGTGATGAATAAAACTTGAAGAACGTTGTCTTTAAGCAGTTACATAGTTATTTCTCTAAATTGAAAAAATGCAGCACGTTTATATAAAGAAACTAAATTAGCATTATTTGGTTGCACTTGTTTTGTCCGATACTGTATGTTATAATCTCAATTACTATATAGGCCTAGGCTTACTATAACAAGATTTAACTATTCAATGTATGTTGACTATCTGGAAAAAAAATCATAATAAAACTTAACCAACTGCATATTAAACTACTATGCAAGAAAGGTTTACCTAAGATTCTTTTTTTTTTTTTTTTTTCAAATCCTCTTAAAATCACAATCGCTTGTCCAAATTTGAATAAGATTTTAAATTAATACGTCTTTAGGTGAAATGAACATTATAGTTTAACAAAATGATCTGTTCTTATCGTTTATTGGCAATTTTCCTTAATTATAAGCTCTTTCTTGGTCGGAATTCTATTTTTTGTGAAAATTGATAGAATTATTGTGTTTTGACGCCTATATATAGTTAATATACGTCAGAACCGATTAGAACTAAGATCAGTAGTAAATTAAGGAACTTTTTTAAAAGATTCTAACTAAATTCATGTTAATGCCGATGAGCGGAATTGATCTAAAGACTCCAAAATAGTGTTCTTTAGATTCACTATTACGGGTAAACAGGTTTTGAAAATTAGATAAAAAAAAAAGAAAAGTGTCTTTAAATATTAAAAAAATCTTAAGCAAAAAAAACTGTACCATCTAAAGCTTTTGTTTGGACACAATACGCTGATAAAATCATGCTAATTCCAAATAAAAATATTCGAAAAATTTGTAAATCGCTTTAACTACACTGAGTGTGCTTCAATAAAACCTTTTTATATCTCCGTGTATATGTGCTTCAATAAAACTTTTTTTATACCTCCGTGTATGTGGTAATCCGTTAAAGATTATTTTCTTTTATGCTTTTTTTTTTTTGTGCAGGTAACTGCTCATCTTTTGAGCAAATTTTTTTTGTGTGCAGGTCACTGTTCATCTTTTGATCAAATTTTGTATGAAGGGAATGTTGAAGAGCTGAAATTTGTCGCATATTACTGCAGGTTTCTATGTTGCAAGTTTTTTTGATTCATAATAATGTTGGTTTCTTTGTTCCATAATGCTGTAGAATTTGTTTAAAATGCTAAAAGGTAAATGATTTTTAAACGTTTGTTTATATTTTAAATGTTATTGTTCAGAGATGGACAAGTTCGTGCTGTTGCATCAATGAATTGTGGCGCAAAAGCATCTGAAATGGCTTTTAAAATCGAATCTGGAGATATCAAACCACCTGATAACATTTAATTTTGTATTTATTCGAATATATTTTTTTAGAAAAGAGATTTTTTATATAGAGGTTTTTGATACTATTTATAGTTTTTTTTTCATCTTATAAATTTTCTTTGTAAATTATTATTGGTTTATGTATATTTTGATAAATATTAAGTTTAATTCTTGAAAAATGAAATAAATTTGAATTCCAAGTCAGAGTGGTTTGCTGGCCAGTTATAGTTTTTGAATTTAAAATCTCTATTTTTCGAAATCTCGAGGGGTATAAAACTTTGAAATGGAATAAAACAAAGATGATTTTTTTAAATTGACATGAAATTTACTTAAATCAAAAAATAATCTTCTCGCATTGTAATTTAAATATGATTTTTGGCATATGATCTTTTAGGGTTAGTTTTGGACGGATTAGTTTTGCATCCAACAGCTGGTCAACCAGCCACGGCTGGGTCGGAAACAGTCTAAACTGGAGGTTCAATTTTCAATGACTTTTTCCAACATTTGTGGCCTTATATCGGCTATAGCACGGCGACTGTTGTTCTCTAAGGTCAATTGCTTGGGTTATGTGCGTAGACTTGTTCAAGGTCAATTGGCTTATCGGCGTAGATGAGCAACTTGACATATCCACACAGAAGATAGTCTAGCGGAGTTAAAGCGGCACGATTTTGGAAACCGATTCACGGGTCTGAAACGTGAAACTATGCGATTACCAAACGTTTCTTTTAATAAATCAATTAACCTTACCCCATAAAGCAATGCATTATGGTATTTGTATGTACAGAAAAATCAAAAACTCGCGATTCATATTTTTTTTAATTTTCTATTATTTTGTGGCTTGCTCGTATATAGATTATAGTTTCTCTTTTTATAATTAAATACATATACGTCAAAATCTTCTATAAATCTCATTACCTCCGCAGGAGAATAACTGCATTGTAATATAAACAAATATTTTAACGCAGTTATAGTTGAATTTCGTTAGAAAAGCTTGTTTGAAGTATATTTTACAAGTATACATAAGTAAAAGAATATATAATCAACTCTATAAATATTCCTGTTAGATCTAGCTTTTTAAAAAGCTCTTAGCATTCCACTAAATGCAACATTTTGTATAATTACAAACAAGAAATTTAACAGCGACGAAAACGAAATAATCTCTAAAGATGTAATTTAATGGTCAAAAGATAACATCTGTTTTCGATAACACATCAACATGTATTTACTTATATAGTATCAAACGATATTTTGAAAGAAGAGCTTGTAAACATAAAATAGCTGGTTATCAGTTATTCTAAGAGAACTATGTAAAATAAAGTTGGTGTTTAACTAAGACTGCTGCAAAATAATTGAAGTAAAGTGCTCTTTTTTAAAAAAATCTTTGTGTACATAAAGCTTGTACCAATAAAACTTTTTGTATTGAAATAGTAATAGACAGCAAAAACTAAAAATCAAACATTTAATTTTACCAATGTCAAGTTTTCCAAGCTTTTACAGAAAAGAGCGAAATTCACTTTGTTCTATAGAAAAATGAAATTTTTTGTGCAATCAACTAAATTTGAAAATGAAAACTAGTTCAATAAGATTTTACCTTGTTTAAATACATTTTATTTTCAGTTTATGATTAAAGAAATATTTGAAAGGATGTAAAAGTATGTAAAAATTATTATAAAATGGTAAAACATGAAAAATACTGACTTCTTTTTTTTATTTTTTAGTTGAAAAACATTGTTTGGTGCGCTTGTTGTCATCTTTTTTTCGAAGTCTTAAATAGTGTAAATTTTACTCCAATAATATAGTTTTTAAAATTTGAACTAAAATATTTAAAAGGTGTGAAACAAAATACCCCAAAGTCTATTGGGACAATCTCAGTTCTTTCAATATTTGACATTTTAATCGACTTATTTTGTTGCTTACTTCCGCGTACATACAAATACCATAATGCATTGCTTTATGGGGAAAGGTCAATTGTTGCACAAGCTGTGTAACATGTTACGCCGCCTTGTTAAAACCACGGCTCCTTCACATCATAGATGTTCAATTAATGAGCGAAAGAGTTACTAATCATGGCCCTATAAAGGTCACCATTAACTGTAACGTTTTGGCCAGCATCGTTTTTAAAGGAGTATGGGTCAATTGTTCCACTAGCCCATAAAGCACACCAGTCAGTTTTTCTGAATTTAAAGGTGACTCAGCATAGACTTAAAGATTATCATCACTCCAAATACGGTAGTTCTGTTTACTGACGCATCCATTCAGCCAAAAGTAAGCTTCATCGCTAAACAAAATTTGCTTATGAAAATCGGAATCAAGATCTTGTTTTAAGCCCATTCACCAAATCTACCCCATGTTAAGTAATCATGTGGCTTGAATTCTTGAATAAATTAGATTTTGTAAACACCCAAATCAAAATCTTTCCGCAAAATTTTCCATAAAGTGGATGGATCCAAATCCAATTCCTGTGCTCGATGGCAGATGGACTGATTCGAGTCTTCCTCTACGATACACTCTACAGCTGCAAAGACTTCTTCTGGACGCACTGTACAACGTCTCTGTGGATATATATTATCATTTAAAGTAAACATGGTGCAAAAACGTTCCATAGTTAATCGAACTAATTGCTCTGATGGACGATTACGTTGACCGTAAAATGGATGTAGTGCGTGGTACGAATTTCAAACAGAATCATGATTTTCAAAATAAATTTGCACAATTTTGAAGCGTTGTTCAGGCGTCAGTCTATTCATGTTGTAATGCAAAACAGAACATTAATCACTTGACAGCTGACAAAATAGCCGCCAGCTAAAATTGTTGCCAACTTATATTTCTTTACCTAAAAAAAAACACCCTTTTATTTACTAGAGCACTGAGTATAAAGAATTGCGACTGTTCAAAAATTTTGCAAAGAGTTAGACAATTGAGTTGATTGAGTGATTAATTTAAATCACAAAAAAAAAACCACAGCACATGAAAAACAAAAGTTGTGATTTTTTATTTAAAGGGAAGGGGGGGGATGGGTTAAGAGACACCCTTATATATACAGAGTCATTCGATTTAAATCAAAAGTTTTTTTCAACTCAAGCTTTCAACAAGAACGGACGCACTTTTTATCTCGTGGCGAAAAAAAAAAAAAAAAACTTTTTATTTATTATAAATAAAGACGTATCTTTAATAAAAATTTTAACTTAATAATATGGCTGTAACACTTCCAGAAATAAAGAAACTTTTAAAAGAAATGTTCAAAGAATTTAAAAAGGAAACGGAAGAAATGTTTCAAAAGCAAGAAAAAGCAATTCTCGATATTATTGGCGCTAACATCAAAATAATAAACGATAGATTTGAAAAAGTAGAGAAAAATGTTGATGGAAATGGAAATTGTATAAAAAAATTAACAAAAGAATTAGAAGATATAAAGGTAAGTCTTAATTTTAATGAAGGACTTATTGACGAAAAAATAGTTACTAACAACAAATATCTAGATAAAAAAATGGAACATACAAAAATAGATAATGTATTAAAAGAAAAACAACGAAACTTAGAAGATCGATCGCGCCGAAACAATCTTAGGATTGAAGGAATTTACGAGAATGATAAAGAATCATGGGGGGATACAGAAAAAAAAAGTCCAAACATTCTTCACCGAAAAACTTGGACTAAAAGATGTTGAAATTGAAAGAGCTCACCGCACTGGACGAAAAAACGATGGACGACCAAGGACTATAATATTAAATCTTCAGAAATATAAAGACAAAATAAGAATATTGAAGGAATTGTATCGACTCAAAGGCACAAATACGTTCGTGAACGAAGATTTTTCTCGAGAAACCGTCGCTATTCAAAAAAAATTGTTCGCTGAAGTGAAAGAAAGGCGATTGAATGGTGAAAGTGTTACGGTAAGGTATGACAAAATTGTTTATATTAAAACTTCTTTTAAAAACAATTTTAACGAATAATTTTATGGGCATTCCTAAAAAGAAATCTTAAATAAAATATATTAATCATGGCTACAAATGAAAACTTTGAATCTCGTGTTTTTAAAATTCAAAAAACAAATTACTCTACGTTAAATGAAAATTTAGACTCTGATTACAATATTTATCACAATAAATTTTCAGATTGTTCATATTACTTTCCTAGCTAACTAGAAGGGTTTCTTTTTAAGAATGAGAATGAAAGAAATAATAATCAAATGTTAATTCTCCACCTCAATATAAGAAGCTTAAATAGCAATTTTGAAAAACTTTTAGACTTATTAGAAGAAACTAAACATTTTTTTAATATAATTTGTTTAACAGAAACTTGGATTTCTTTAGAAGACCTAAATAATTTTCATCTACCTCATTTTAATACATTTTTAATGGAAAGGAAAACAAATAAGCGCGTTGGTGGAGTTTTAATTTATGTTCACGAAAATTTTGAGCATTGTTTTAGGCATGATTTAAGCGTTTCTGACTGCGATAAAGAAATTGCAACTATAGAAATTACTAACTGCAACAAAAAAAAAATTTTACTAAGCTGTTGTTATCGGCCACCTGATGGCGTAAGCGAAAACTTTAGCATGTTTTTACAACAAATTATTAAAAAAGGTACTGTTGAAAAAAAACAAAATTTTATAATTGGAAATTTAAACATGAATTGTTTTCTTTATAATGATAACCTTTAAGTTAAAAATTTTTATGATGAAATTTTTGAAACGGGTTCAGTATCTTTAATAAACAAACCTACAAGAGTAACGACAAATTCAGCAACTCTAATAGATAATATAATAACTTCAGATATTTTCAACAATGATTTAAAAGTAGGTATTTTGCGAACCGATATATCAGATCATTTCCCTATATTCCTAAAATTAGATAATACAAACACTGAAAAAACTTTAACCGCACAAAGAGTAATTAGAAAACGCATTTATAATGAGGCTAACCTTAATTTATTCAAAAATTAACTTTCATTACTACACTGGAATAACATAAATTTTAATGATAATGCTAACAATATCTATGAGTCTTTTTTCAAAACATTTTTTTCTGTATACGATGCTAACTTCCCAATCATTGAAAATAAAATAACTACTAAGAGCTTAAATACACCCTGGATCACTAAGGGCTTTAAAAAATCGTCCAAAATTAAGCAAAAACTATATATAAATTTTTTGAAAACAAAAACACCTAAAAACGAAAAAATTTACAAGGACTACAAAAACCTATTTGAAAAAATTCGCAAAAATCTAAAAAAAAATTATTACTCCCAATTACTCAATACATTTAAAAATGACACAAAACGCACATGGCAAATAATGAATGAAATTATTGGAAAACAAAAATCATGCTCAGGTTTTCTGCCACAAATGCTTAGAGTCGATAACAAAAGTTTATACGAACCAAGAACTATAGCTCAAGAATTTATCAAATTTTTTATCGATATAGGTCCAACACTTTCTAAAAAAATCCCAAACACCAAATCTTTATTTACTGATTTTCTAGTACCCATTGATAATTGCATTGGTTCAGTTGAGTTGTCTTCTGAATTGTTGTTTGAAGAGTTTGAAAGAGCCTTCAAATCTTTAAAAAAAAATAAAGCAATTGGAGCAGATCAAATAAATGGAAACGTTATTATAGATTGTTTTGAACAGCTAAAAGTTGTTCTTTTTAAAGTTTTTAAAGCTTCTATCCATCAAGGTGTTTTCCCCGAACTGTTAAAAATTGCCAAAATTATTCCCATTTTTAAAGAAGGGGACAAATCAATTATAAGTAATTATCGCCCTATTTCTGTTCTTTCCACCTTTTCAAAAATTTTAGAAAGAATTATATATAACAGAGTATACAAATATTTTCATGTTAATAAATTACTTAACATTAATCAATTCGGTTTTAAAAAGGATAGCTCAACTGAACATGCAATTATCCAATTTGTACGGGAAATCTCAAAATCATTTGAAAAATCACAATATACTCTAGGACTTTTTATTGATCTATCAAAAGCTTTTGATACGGTTGACCACCAAATTCTAATCCATAAACTTAAACACTATGGAATAAAAAATAAAGTTTTAAAATGGTTTGAAAGCTATTTGTCAAATCGTAAACAATTTGTTCCGAGTAATGACGGTTATCACACCAATTGTCTATCTATAACATGTGGAGTCCCACAAGGCTCAATTCTTGGTCCACTCTATTTCCTAATTTATATTAATGATTTAAATAAAGCCTCTAAACTAACAAGTATTATGTTTGCAGATGATACTAACTTATTTCTTTCTAACAGTGATATCTTTGAACTTTTTAAAACAATGAACAAAGAGCTTGTACATGTATCGAGTTGGTTTAAATGTAATAAGTTAACTCTAAATTCTAATAAAACAAAGTGGACCTTATTCCATTCGCTTTCCAAAAAACGATATTTGCTATTAAACTTACCTAAAATTTTTATTGATCAAAATGAAATAAAAAGGGATTCCGTAACAAAATTTTTAGGTGTTTACCTTGATGAAAACATCACTTGGAATCATCATATTGACTACATAAGTACTAAAATTTCAAAAAACATAGGAGTTTTATATAAAGCACGAATCTACCTCAATAAGAAAATTTTAATCAAACTTTATTATTCATTTATACACAGTTATTTAAATTATGCTAATATCGCCTGGGGTAGTACAGAAAAAAGTAAGTTGCAACGTCTTTATCGCCGTCAGAAACATGCTATCCGTTTAATCTGCTTTGCAAATCGCTTTTCTCACGCAAAACATTATTTTATTGAAATGAGAATTTTAAATATATACGAGCTAAATATATATAATGTTTTATGCTTTGTATACATGTGGAAAAATGACTTGTCTCAATCTGTCTTCAAAGATATTTTTACTCCGAAACCCATCAACAAATACAATTTGAGAAATACTGATTTTTTAAATGAACCTTTCTGTCAAACGAACTTTAATCAATTTTGTATTGTCTATCGGGCACCACACCTTTGGAATAAAATTGTTTTGCCCAATTTTGATTTCGAACTACCCATTACTTTTCGTTTTTTTAAAAGTAAATTAAAAACCCTAATTTTTTCATTAGAAGACGTATTATGTTATTATTAATAATATAAATTAATAACTTTGCCTTTTCTTATTTATATTTGTAAAAAGTTTATTCTTACTTATTTTGTTGATTTTATATTCTTTACTTCACGTATACGTTTATATAAAATATTAGTGAGTAGATTCGCGTGATCTCTCTTTGGATTATAAAATATATATTTGGATTATATATATATGAAATTTGTAAAAATTTGATACTGTTAATGCTTGTTTGAACTTATTTAAGGTTCTGACGACAAGATCCTTTGATCTTCTTTCAGATACCTTATTTTATATTTGTGAAAGTTTATTATTATCATCATTATTTTTTATTTTATTTTTTTTGGCAATATATAGTTGTAATACGACCAACAAATGTAAAATTAAAAAAAAAAAAAAAAAAAAAAAAAAGTTTTTTTTAGATGACTAATGATTTAAATCAAGTTTTTTTTTATATATGTTTTTTGATTTTTGAATAATAAAAATTTATTTTAAAACTATTTTTGTCATATTTCAAAACAAAACTAATTAAATGTAGCAGAACTATGTATTTATAGAAATAATTACTCAAAGTAAACAATAAAAATAAATAAAACAGGTATTTTGTACAAAACAAATCAATAAACATAATAAATCAATTAAAACTAAAAAAATTTTCTCCTGTGTGCAGCATTAAAATTAATCATCAACTTCAAATTGAATAATTTTCTGCTGATTAATTGCCTTGAAGAGAAACACAAGCTTAGCAGGTTTTTCTGAACCCAATCTATTTCTCTTTAAATGTACCAAGGCAGTTTCGTAATGGAACTTTATTCTGGGCATGCGCATTGACAAATATCTATTTAGTTAATGATTCAATAAAGATACGAAACGCAAAAAACAAACATTAAAAGGCTCTTTTTTAATAACAAAATTTCATATACTTTTTGATAAAATTAGGTTATTAAATTTTTCTATTTTAATAAATATTGAGTTATACCAGTTTTCAAGTAAGAAAAAAATTAAAAAAATAAATATTTATCCAACTTTTATAAAATTTAAAACTTTTCAGTTTTTTTAGTTTAAAATTTTAAGGAAGTCAGTAATTCTTGATAAATAAGTACTTAAATGAATTTTTTGAGAAAAGCTGAAATGTTTAAGAGAAAGGATTAAGGAACTTAAAAAATTTTCCAAATTTTGAAGAACCTATTATTTTTTTTCTGTATATTATGTGAACTTTTTTCGTAAAATAAAAATATACTTTTTCTCCCTAAAACTTTAGAAAGTAACTATAGTTACTTTCCAAGGTGTCAAAGATAACGTAAGGAATAACATCTACTCAATCTAATGAATATAAAATGAAATATTTTTTGTTGTCTAGTAACCAAAATATTAGCTATTTATTATATTAAATATTTATTATATTCGGAAGTAGAATATATATTTTTTCTTACAATTAACATTAAAATTAGGTCGTTATGCAATTACAATCTTATATACAATTATCTAAGAAACATCACAAGGCTTTTCTTTTATAAGCTTTTCTTTCTTGAATAGTTGGTCTGATTTCCAAAGCTTTTGGGGAGTTTTTGATGTAGTGATTGGACAAAATGCTTTCTAGTCTTTGCTTTCCTTTCATATGGCAAAAGGTGCTGTTCATACTGTTGAATTCAGCATGCATACTTTCTAAACCTTGCTCTCCATGAATATCAAAACCAAACCCCAATTTCTAATAAAATCAACACAATGACTTTCTAATAAATGCGTTTTTGGTGTAATGGGCTCATTGGGCCGTGTTTTACGAAAGTAACTCATTAATTCTCCAATGACTCCTTCTGATTTTAAAAAAAAATTAAAAAAAATTAAAAAAAAAAGGTAGTAAACAAAAAAAGAATAATTATGCAAGCAAGTGGAATTATAATACAAGTAACATAATACAAAACAGTTTATAAAAATATATTTTTACCTAACTCTAATAATGGATTATTATTAATTATTTCACTTAAATTCATAAAATTGTAACATATCGCGTATTTGGAGAACAAATGAACAAATTTCTCACTCAAGACCTTTGCCTCGTTATGGACATCTGTATCAATAAATCCAAGATCGCTTACAATTTTAGGTATCGAATTGCAAAGATCTAGGACACTGTTTAACTAATAGATCAAGATTAAATTTATAATTTACAAAATTAACACCTGTATGCATTGAGAAAATATTTATACAATTCATATTTACAAGTATACAAAAATATGTATGGAAATACCTTTAACATTTAATGAACATGATTCCCAATAAAACATTTTCCGTGGTAAGCTTGTCTTTGAACATTAAGACCACATAGAACTTCATCAAGTTTTTTCACAAGTTGTCCATGTGATTTTTCAATATTTTACTTTTTAACTCTTCTAATTCAATAAGCTATATAAAAAACAGCTTTACATGAACACACACAGAAGCTTTTTCTCTTAAATTGAGTGTTTCATTTACATAGAACTATAGAATATTTTATTTCATTATTTCAAATATAAGAAAAATGCTAAGGCATACTTAGTATACCTTAGTATTTTTTTTTCTCCATAAAATGAACTATTCTTGGCTAAAAAACTTCATAGAGGTATTCTCCATTTTCAGGAGAACATAGAACTTGTATTGTCATTGCATCATGAATTAGTGTTATTTTTTCACAATATTCAGCAATTACTTTTTCTTGCTCATATATTTTTAACTGCAGTGCGAGATATTCATCAAAACTTTTGTTGTTTACAGTTTGATTTTTTAAACACATTTTAGCTGCAATTTTTATATCTATAATATGACAGCTATCTTCCAGCATATTAAAATTTTTTAGATAAATTCCGAATGAGATATGCAACAATGGAATACCAACCTAGATTCATAAATTAATAAAAAAAATATTTAAAATGATATAAATAAGTAAAAATGTAATATATTAGAAAAATTTAATACTTGTGTTAAAGGAATATTGAAAAGTGGTGAATCAATCACATTGTTACAATACTTTGCTAACTTTGGTATTTGACCTTTTTGAATGAATTTTTGAAAATCTGTATCAAGCGTTTCCAGCGAGCGACTGGAACAGTTGTGTTTTTGTTGAGCATCTGGCTTTTTCATCTCTGCACGAGTTATATGACAAAACAAGCAAGCATGTTGACCTAATATAAAAATATCATTTTAAATATATGGTTAAAAAAGCCATAAAATGTCACTAAATAATATAAACATCAACTTCAACAATTTTAAAAAATTTGTTTGTTGCACAGTTTTATTATTTGAATTTGCTGAACATGAAAAATCGTAATCACCAAAGATAAATACTCTTATTTTTTTCTCACTAAATATATATTTTTTCAAAATTGATTAAAACCTATTAATCTAAATAATTAATTAAAAACAATATGATAAAATAAAAACTTTTATCAGTAATCTCTGAAACAAATCGCTTTGGTTAAGAATAAAGTTGAAATATCAAAAATTAAAAAAATCCAGTTAGAGTAGCTAAGCTTTAGAAAGAAATAATCGAAAAAACCTTGGATTTTTTTGTGTTTGCCGTGTAAGAGGACAACACGCGTTCAACTCCTGCAGATGAAGCTACCGCAGTCACCAATTGCAAAATTGTTTTTAATGTTTTACTGTCACTGTTATCGCGGTGTGATCTGATACCACTGAACAGACGATAATGCTGTTAAACCTCCAATCTAAATTCAAATTCCAGGAATGACTTTCCTCTAAATTTTTTTTTTTTTTTTTGGCATATTCCATAGTAGTGTTTTTTGAATTTTATTCAACATTCTACCTTGGTAATGAGGGTGAAGAAGATTAGCCAGAAGATGGGATGGTGTCACTGCCGGTCGTATTTTATTTTGAATTTCTTTTGGATAACTTTCTCAATTTTACACAAAAGTTTATTTTCTAGATTTTTCCATACTTCTACTACATCTGCAATTTTGCATTTGTCACTTTGTGCTTTATTAAGTGCAAAAGAAATAGGTTCTAAGCGAGCAAGTAGATCTTCTGCAGATCTCTTAAGGTGGCTCATATAGAAAAAGCAAATTTTTTAATAAAAGAAATTGCAACGGTTCATAAATATTTTATTGTACTTTTGATGATATATGAAACTTAAATTTTATAAAAAAAGTTGTAAATGAATTATATTGAAAACAAATTTCAACAAAACCAGAGGCAAAAAGGGTAAATTTGACAAAATTCAAAACAATATTTTTTGATTAATTTTGATTTAAACTCAATAACTTTTTGTTTATAGCTTCATTCATTTCTACTAAAAGAATGAAAAAATAATTAAAATATCAAAAACGGGACACAATACTTAAAAAAATAACAAATTTATACATAAAAAAAAAACACGTGTTGTGTTATAAAAACTGATAAAACTATTCTTAGTTAATTATTTTAGTACATCTGAAATTTGTTCTTGATGATTAAAGAACATACACTGAAAATTTCAGTCAAAAAGCTTTTCTTTATCTCGAAATAACATGTTTTGAAGTTGCAAAAAAAAGAATAAAATTAAAAAGTTGAGAAAACAACGACCAAAATTTAATAGAAAATAGAAATTATTGGCAAAACAATGAAACTGACCAATAAAAAAGTTAAATTAAGGTAATAGTATTGAATATTTTATGCAAAATGTACATATTTTCTAAAAATATGATAAATTTTGCATCGAATTGTATGTTAAAAAAAAATTGGAATTTTTTTTTTTAATAAAGTATTTTTTTCTATATGAGTCACGTTAATAACTAAGTTAGAGACATTTTGTTGCACTGTAGTGTCAATTATGGCTCGATTAGACTCCAGTGAGTTTCTTAATGCAATACAAGTTTTTGTTTACCAGCTTTTCTATATTCTGTTAAAGCAAAATGGTAGTTCCTAAAATATTTGACAAGTTATATATAATATATATATATATATATATATATATATATATATATATATATATATATATATATATATATATATATATATATATATATATATATATATATATATATATATATATATTTACTGTAAAATTATATATAATATATATGTAAAATTAAATATATTATATAAAGTTATATATAAAAGATTTGATTGAACATTTACAGTATTTTACAATTTTTTCTTGATTTAAAGACGTTATTGGTTAATGAAAAGGAAAAAAATAAATTTTTTGCTTAATTTGAGCTATTGTGTATGATTCCGTTAAAAGTACTGTTTTAAATAAAATAATTTTATAAGTATAAAAAAATAGAACTTTAAAAACTAAAACTCACCCAACTAAATTGTGTCAAATAACCGAATAAATTTGTCTAAAAACCGACTATAACTTGAAAATCACCTTCTTTGTGGGGGTAGAACTCTCCTTCCCATAAACCCTCCCCCTAAAATCGTTTTTGTATGCAATCTTTACGCATGAAAAATATTTCATTTTCTTTACAACACTCTACAAAAATAATAGGATAAAACTAGTTAATTTATAAAAAAAAATTTATGTCTTGTATTTTGTGAATATTTTACATCGTAGTTGAGATAAGTAAAAGCGATAAATGTTATTTAAAAGCTCCAGAGACAAGCTAACGCGGAAAACATTTTGATGTTTCACAAAAGTAATGTAAGTAATAGTGGCATATAACAACTAGAGAGTTTTATTGACATTTAAAATATCTGTGACTCTCAAATTGAATATAAAATTTTGATTAAAAGATGCTTGTGGTGATCGAACGAAACAGAAAAAAAGCCGAAACCGAAATAAACCAAAATTTCGGGTACTCGAATTTTGTACCGAAACCGACATTTCGGGAGATATTTATTTTATTAGAAAAATTTATTTGAAAATGCAATTTTACATTTGTTGTTTTTTCATGCTCGTATTATGTTAGTTACAATTAATTACACTTGTATTCCTAATTAAGATTTAATACATTGGCGATATAAGTTAATCGCGAAATTTAACAACTGGCAAATTTTTTTGAGTTTTTTTTAAGAAAAATTCTCAAGATATTTTGTAAAAATTCTGAAAAACTGTTTTTCTAAATTTGGTAAATGTTTTTCAATCGAAATTTCTGTTTTTACCGAATTTATAAAAAATACTGAAACGGAAATTTTGGTATGGGTTCCAATTGAAGTCTGGGCCGAAACCGATACGGAAAGAGAATTTCGGTCAATCACTACTTGTGGGTATTTATTATTTTAAATTTTGTGTTGAAATATTTTAAAAATGCCCAAATACTAAGATGATAAAACGCATATTTTTGAAACAAAGAAATGAATTTTATAAAATGATATAATAACTGTAAGTTTATTGAAAATAAAAAATTTTTGAAAATTTTCGGAAATATTGAGCAAAATTCCGGAATTTTTCAACCCTAGTTGTTAACTTTTACATTTGCTTTGTTTACTGATTTTTATTTAAATTATAACCATAAATCCCAAAGTACTTTTTTTGCACGCATCTTAAATAAAAAAATCTTCAAATCAATGAGTTCTAGATATTTACGCTAATATAGTTATGACGCTTAATATAACATGCAATTTATTTTGTGGAGATTATTTTCCAATTCAGGGGGTAGAATTCAAAACCTGCAAACTTTAATAGGCATGTCTATAAAGATAAATTTATTATTTTTTACTAAAAATATAAACTATAATGAAAGAATAACTAATATCAATCTTAAATTAGATGAACATTAGATTGGACATTACACACACTTGAATGCGTATACAAACATTGATGTAAATTACATTTTAGGTCATTTATCTTAGACATACGGTCACCCTTGTCAAAAAGCCCAATAAGATATCCAACAAAAATTATATAGGACATTCCTATACGAAATTGAAGCAGAGTTTTGTATGGGATAATCCTATTGAATACATCTAATAAGAATATAGATTTAGAAATTATGGAAAATCTTGAAGGAGTCTTATTCTATAAGATACCGGAAGTAAAAACATGCTATAGGTTTGCATCTACAGGAATCCTTATAAGTCTTGTTCTAAAATCTTATAAGAGCATATTTTTGTACTTTTGTAATCCTATAGAGACAGCAAATTTAGGAAGAACCTAGAGATTCAGTCATATTGAAGTTTATATAAAATAATCTTATAAATTAACATTAAGGAGTTATTTTACAAACTCACTTCAACAAGAAATCTCACGAACTATTGTTCTAAAGTACATTAGGGTCTGTTGGGGTATTATGGGTATAAAAAGTAGCTATTTTCAACTTTGACATTATGATATGTAATTTCCTTTGTATAAACTTCTCCACAACTTCATTGCACCCTTTGTCTCTTTGCCTTAAAAGTTTTAATTTTTACGAATATCTTCAGGTTGGTCAGGTGATAGTGTGGTTATAACTGCATCCCTTAGCTTTCTTATTGGTGTTGTTTTAGTTGATGGGTTATTTGAATTTAAACAATCTAAATTGCTGGAGGGTTTCATAACGTTTCCAATATTACTGATTGATTAATTTCCTTCCTTGAGAAATTCCAAGTTCAGGATCAGTTTGAGTTAATATGTTGGGTTGGATCGAGACAAAAATGCTGTCCAGAATGATTCGGTTTACTGAGTAAATACCAGATTCTTTAAAACCGTTATTATGAGATTGGATTTGAATGAGATTGCTAGAAGTATTTTTAAATGATTTTATCTACATTTTTAAGACAAGACACACGGTACCATGTCTTTAATATATTTTTCCAATGATTTTTTATAGGAGTAAATACATCAACGTCTATTGGTTGAAGAGCATGTGACTTATGAGTTGGTAAACATAAAAATATAAGGCCTTTATTCCTCGATTTACAGGTTACGTTATAAGTCAAGTGATTTCTATTAAATAATTCTAAAACTGGCTTTTCAAGGTGTTTTTTGCTTGACAAATGCTTTTAACCATTTTTAGAAGTATAACCCTGCATCTAACCGCATTCAGTGTACCTGGTACCTGGCCATACGTACCTGGCGACCCCTCCTTTTACCTGAAAGGATTGTAACTCTCTTTTTCTTTTGGAAATAACACAAGGTGAGTTCTCTGGCGGCAAAAAATGTATTTTGCCTCAAAAATTCATAGTTTTTGTGTATGATTAACCTGTAGATCCAAATGAAATCTATTCCTATGCTTCTTATAATGTTCAAATTTAAAAA